CAGGGCAATTGGTGCCAACCCCTTGTATTGTGACTGCCGCCTGCGCTGGCTGTCTGACTGGGTAAAGACTGGGTACAAGGAGCCTGGCATCGCCCGCTGTGCCGGCCCACAGGGAATGGAGGGCAAACTGCTCCTCACAACACCTGCAAAGAAGTTTGAATGTGGAGGTGAGTTTTTGTGCCAAACTATACAGTAAGCCGCATTAGTATTCGCACACAACTGATCCTTTTCTTTCTGGCATTTTCTTAGGTGATGTGGACAATTCAGTGTTGGCCAAGTGCAACCCCTGTCTGTCCAGTCCCTGTCTGAACCAAGGCATCTGCCACAGCGACCTGGTGGACATCTACAGGTGCAGCTGTCCTCCAGGATTTAAGGTCAGACTTACTCAGCCTACTTGTGAAAATCCATTTTAGCGTACCTCAGTGTGTTACAGGTCTCGAAGTGTGCACAGTTCTCATCATCTCTTTTCTCTGTCGCAGGGTAAGAACTGCGAGACTGGTCTGAACGCCTGTGTGAGTAACCCATGTGCCAACGGAGGAACCTGTCAAGTGAATGAGGATGATGAGGGAGAATACAGGTGAGGAAGCTTTGAGATCAGTACAAAGTAAAGAAATCTTCGTTATCCTGTAAATTAACTCCACATGATGTGTGTTCCACAGTTGCACGTGTTTACTGGGCTTCGAGGGCCCCACTTGCCAAACCAACATTGACGACTGCGAAGACAACGACTGCGAGAACGGAGCGACCTGCATCGACGGGGTCAACAACTACACTTGTTTTTGTCCCCCCTACTACACAGGTTGGTGCTGTTTGACTCAAGAAGCCCTGACAATCATCTATTTAAATCAACATGCTAAGTATTAAAGTATTAAATCTGCCAACATTTTTCAAACATAAAAGTCAGGATGTTATAAAATGCCTCACAAAACTATTTAAAAAAGACTTGATATTAGCAAAGAAATTTGTGATAAGCATTCATAACTACATTTTTACTTTAATTAAGCAAAATGTTGAAGTTACTAAGACTGTAATTCTTCTTTTTACTTGTGAAAAAATATTCAGTCTTGTCTTTGCCTTACCAATATTGTCTGATTTTTTTTTTTTTAAACTTTCTTTGAACACGAAAAACATCGAAAAACTTTACAGCTCTAAAAATATTATACAAAAATGTCATTTAGCTGTCTAATATACACATCTGATGTAACAGTGAACATCAACCAAACAAAATGATTAAAACACAAAAAAGAAGTTTGGAAAATTAAAGGAAGTAAACTTAAAAAAAACACTTTAGCTACACAGCACAACTCGTAATACGGTCACTTGCTACACATACATTGCAGTCAGACCTGCTGCACATTTCAGCAGCACTCAATCATCCTCCAGTTTTCAGTTCTAGACTTGTAAGACGAACGGCTGCCAGACCTTATAGAATTCATCAGCAGATCCTGTCAGAGGAGATCTAACTGTCTCTCGCTTCAAAAACTGCATAAGATCTCTATTCCAGTGACTATGGGTACGCGGTGTTTCATATTTCCACTTACGAAATTGCACATTTAGGTCCTCTTCCCATAAGCCCTTAATTATAGATAAGGAGGTGCAATTAAGATGGGAAATTAGTTCATGTAACTGTGTAACCACACCCTTACCGAGTGGATTTACAGCCAGGATGTTGTCTAACATGGTTTTATTTGGTGGATTAAGGAACTGGGCTAGATTAGTTTGTGCAAAGTCTCTAACCTGTAAATGTCAAAAAAAGGAAACCCTGATTGTTAGTAAGATTATGTTTCTAATTCAACTGATCAAATGAGGTTAAATTACCTTCATTATATAGATTTAATACATTTTGTCTCACAGATTTTAAAAGCAAAGTCCTGCAGTGATGGAGGGGAGATTGATTTTGAGCTATTGGTGCTGAAATGGAGATTAATATAAACCAACAGGATTTAAGGGGAATGTGTGAGTGTTGGGTTGTTTTTCTAGGTTTTATACAAGGTTTTCAAGACAATATGCTACAAATATATAAATATTAGTAGCCCAGTCATACTATTCAAAGTTAGATATTCCTCCTGATTGCTTTGGCCTCTGCAAAAAAAAATAAAAAATTTAAAAAGCCTTACAAATTCTTGGAGGTTTATTATTGCAAATGAATTCTGAAATAGATTTGTCAAGGGCTACAATCTTCTTCTCATCAGTACTGGCAAACAATGAAACAAATAAACTAATTTTGGTAAAACATTCATCTTGACAGCATTGATTGCCAGCAGCAAAGGGAGTGGAGTGCATCTTTGAAAATCACTCCTGATTGATTTAAAATAGAAAACTGCTCTGATTCTTGAAATAAGCAAAGCCTTCTATTTTCTCTCACTACGTACCATGCAATCTACTGTGTTACCTGTTTCTCTTCTCACTGACTGATTGAACTGATTGAATTCTGAAATAAATAAATAAATGAATACAAAGACCAATTACCTTATTTTTTTTTTATGTTTAATGCAAATTGTGCTTCACCCGACTATTCATCCTTGATTTAAAAATCAAAACTGACAATCAGTGGTTCTGGCTTTGTGTTGTACAGCAGTTAGCACTGTTTTCAAATATTTGTTATTGTGTAGGGGAGATGTGCGAAGAAATGGAAGATGTGTGCGCCCCTGGACGGAGCCCCTGCCAACATCAGTCTACCTGCCTCATCACCTCGACTGGACCCAAGTAAGCATTTGTTGCCAGAAGCACTAGATACAGAAAAAATAATGCAAAGTAGTTACTACTGGAAGCTAGATTTGTGTGCATTTAGACTGACTTCAGCATTTGTGTGTTGCAGATGTGTGTGCTCTCCTGGTTATGTCGGTGATGACTGCAGTGTGGACTACAATGACTGCGAGGAGCATCGCTGTCAGAACGGAGCTCAGTGTGTGGATGAGCTAAATGGATACTCCTGCATCTGTGCTGAAGGATACAGGTGGGAAAAGAACTAATGAAGCATTATTTTGGCTGCTTACAGTAGTTTCCTCTGATTTACCCTCGCTGTCTTCCTCTCTGTAGCGGCCAGCTGTGTGAGGTTCCTCCGTCTCCACTGTCCCTGTGTGAGCTGGCCGACTGCCAGAACAACGCCCCCTGTGTGGAGCGAGGTGGGCGTGCCCTCTGCCAGTGTCCTCCAGAGTTTGGGGGGCCACGTTGTGAAAAGCTGGTCAGCGTCAACTTCATCGACAGAGACTCCTACCTGCTGCTCTCTGACCTCAAGAACTGGCCTCAAGCGAACATCACCCTACAGGTAGCCACAGAGTCATCTCTGGGATTTCTGCCCTCTCTAAAACCTGAATTATTCAAACACCCAATGATCTCCCTGCAGGTGTCAACAGCTGAGGACAATGGCATCCTCCTGTACAATGGAGACAATGATCACATTGCAGTGGAGCTCTACCAAGGCCATGTCAAGGTCAGCTATGACCCCGGCAGCCAGCCAGGACACGCTATATACAGGTAAGGTGTCATTTACAAGCCTTACGTTTCCCATCACTGTTGGTTGATTCCTGATGAAAATTAAATGAATTGATTCACTCTGGATCATGTGTCCAATCTGTGTTTTCCTCTTTCAGCACTGAAACTATCAACGATGGTCAGTTCCACACAGTGGAGCTGGTGACCTTCGACCAGATGGTGAACCTGTCTATTGACGGGGGTCTCCCTACCACAATGGACAGCTTTGGGGCGGTGCGGCCCCTCAACGGGGAGGCTCCACTATACGTGGGGGGTAGGGGCCCTCTCCAGAACACACCTCCCTCCTCTGCAGGCACTCTTTAACTACTACACTACTGTCAATCACCACCCCTCCCCCCTCGCTTTGTCACCACCGCAACCACTCCCCTCCTCTCAGCCATGCAACCCCTCAACCCCGTCCTACCTCCAATCAAACCCAAACCCTGTCCTCCACCCGCACCATCCCCACCTTCAGTCATGACTGTGTTTGCTAGGAGACACATTTTAAAAAACATTTTGTGTAGATCTCCCGATACACATACATTTGCAATGAAAAAATAACAAAAATGGCAGATCATAATTTACAGTGAACACACAATATTCCACTTTATATACTCTTTGCCATTGCAGCACTTTTTTACAGTGTGTAAACTACGCCCTCTAGTGATAGTACCAGAACAACTACCAGGCACAGTCTTCACTCTAGATTTGTTTTGTATTTGCATGGATTTTTTTGATTTTGCACAAGATGCAACTGTATGAATTTGTGATGTGTAATTTAGCCACTCTTGACATTCACAGAATCTGACATTTAAAATGTTAAATTGTAGCTGAAGAATGTGAACTGAAACATTTGTCACCATGAGAGTTTGTTCAGGAGTGGCTCAAAATTTGTAACCGTTAGTTTTACTGCTGTGGTGTGCTGTGTTGTACTGTGCTGTTCTTCATTCATACAACACTACAGAAGGCATTTTCTCATACCTCTTTGTCTTTTGCTGTCCTCTTTTTCAATCATGGTGTGTCCTGAGGTGCCAATGAAAAAGATCTAAATATTTAAAATAAGAGTTGCGTATTTAAATTTGAGAAACTGTACATGCAGGTTGGGACACACATGCTTGAAAACGCCCTTCTCCATTACACTCATACCAGCCCTGTGTTAGCTGTTGTTTGTGGTCCATTCTGCACGTCTTCACCCGAATAAACATCACTTCTCCTCCTCCTCCTCCTGCTCCAGGCATGCCTGTGGACGTACACTCTGGCACCTTCCGTCTGTGGCAGATCCAGAACGGTTCCAGTTTCCATGGCTGTATCCAGAACCTGTACATCAACAACGAGCTCCAGGACTTCACCAAGACCCAGATGAAGCCCGGCGTGGTACCGGGCTGCGAGCCCTGCAAGAAGCTCTACTGTGTACATGGCATCTGCCAACCTGATGGGGTCCAGGGACCGGTGTGCCACTGCCAGCCAGGCTGGAGCGGGGCGCACTGTGACCAGCCTGCCACTAACCCCTGCCAGGGCAGCAAGTATGTTAACAAATGTGGATCTGGTTTTAACCACTTATGCACATGAGTTCAGCGGTTCCCAATCTATGGGTCGCACCCTCTCTGAGGGGTTGCAAGATAAAATGTCAGACAAATGTACTGGAGTGAAAAGTACAATATTCCCTCTGAAATGTAGTAGAGTTGATGTATAAACTCACATAAAGTCAAATATAACTTCTGCAAAATGGTAAATGCACTTAATTTACTTAAACTTTTTAAATGTTGCAAATCCACGCGGCTGCTCCTAAAAAATCTGCTTAACTGATTTATTCATTGAGCTTGAAATCTGATTGAGGTTATTGCGTCTTACTAGATGTGTCCATGGAAAGTGCATCCCACTGGACGCTCAGTCGTACCGCTGTGAGTGTATGGAGGGTTACCGCGGCGCCCTGTGCAACCAGCAGGGCGAGCTGTTCAACCCCTGCCGTCGCCTGTCCTGCAAGCACGGTCGCTGCCAGATCTCGGACACAGGAGATGCGTACTGTCACTGTGAAAGTGGCTACACCGGGGAGCTCTGTGATGCAGGTTGGTTTGCTTTCCGTGTCTCCCAAAGGAAAAGCACTTCAGAACAGTGACATGATTAACAACTACACTCATGCATTTGGGTGTTCTTACTGTTTTTCTAGAGTCCGAGTGCCGAGGGGAACCTGTGCGAGACTTCTACCAGGTACAGCGAGGATACGCTATCTGCCAGACAACACGCATGGTCTCTTGGGTGGAGTGCACCGGGGCCTGCGACACGGGGGCCTGCTGCGCCAGTCAGAGAATGAAACGCCGGAAATACACCTTCGAATGCAGCGATGGAACCTCCTTCAGCGAGGAAGTGGAAAAGACCATCAAGTGCGGCTGCGTGGGCTGCATGTAGCACCATTCACTCACATTTCCTGCCACTGCTGCAGCGCAGAAGATGGAAAGAAAGTAAGGAAGGAAGGAAGGAAAGAAGGAAGAGAGAAGACTGGAGCAAAGCAAAGGAGGGAAAGAAAGAAAGAGAGAGATTATAAAGAATATATATAAAACCTCTATCTATATATTATGGACAACAATGTTTGTAAAATAGGACATTTCCTCCCCTTCCAAGGGTGTGTGACCTACAGTAACACAGAGAAACCAACATCAACAATGTAGAAGTGACAACAACAGCAACAAAACCATTGTATCTGCAACATTGCTCCAAGGGGTCCAGAGATTTTAAAGGTGTTGCGCTCCGAGTGAGGCATCCCTCCAACCCAAATTATCCAGTGTGAATTCCCCATCCATCAGTGAGGCCTCTGACAGCCTAGCCACCATCTACCATCTTTACTCCGTGGAGGCAGCGAGGACAGCGGGGTCCAGCCTGGCTAAGAACGACAGAACAGGCAGAGAAAGACGAAAAAACAAAAAAAAGAAGGGAAAAGCTCAAGAGGGATAAGAAGAGAGCTGGACCGTTTGACTTGGCAAAGCTATCTTGAGTTGAGCTTGGCTGGGTTGCCTGGACTTGGGCTGGATATGGTTTGGGTTGAGTTAAAGTTGTTGTTGGTTTGGTGTAGCAATTTCTCTGCCAGGATACAGTCATCCATCCACACATGTACACGCAGAAGTGAAGAGAAAGAAAGAAAACGTAGGGTTAGAGCGGCACATAATCCTGTGCAGATGTCGTGGCTGCGAGGCGAGGTGGTCTGGTGTCACAGTCGTTTTGCTGTGTGGTACCGTAACATAGAAACTCCATATAAAAATAGAGACTGCACTGACTAGCAGCACTGAAAACAACAGTTCATCCACCTCTCTGAAGCACATGATCACACATGCATGGCATACATACATTTTGACACACAACGTGAGAGGGCTTGTGTGGTGCAACTACTCTATTCTGTTCCTACAGCAGACCAATCCGGCGCTGGCAGTGCCCCCCGTGGTTATCAGCCCCCCCAGCATGTATTGCCTCAGGGTTAGGGTGATTTGCAGAAACCCGCCCCCCTTTTGAGCAGGAGGCCGATTAGCCCTGCTCCTTTTGATGCCTGCAGTATTAAACTTGTGCAAACTGTTGCATGTGTGGAGAAGAGTTTGCCAACAACTATGTAGAACTTCTTAATATCATTATAAATGTTACTACGAAACAAAAGGTTGCAGAATCATCTTCTGAGTTTTGTTTTGTTTCTGTCTAATTTCTCATATTGATTTATTTTTATTTTTGTTATATTTTTTTGTTATATTTTGTCTCATGATGTAACCTAACTCCTTTAGCTGCCCCAAACCTTCCCCTACAACCCTTTATATAGAAATGCCTAACAGATTCTAATATATATATATATTTGTATTTCATTTTGGTATAGTATTTTTCTATGTTAAAGAGTAAGTCTGTTTCTGGAAGCTTTGGGACTGGTGGAAAGGCATTCAGTTGGTTCCCGAGGTGTTTTTATTTGTTGATCTCACTTGCTCCAACAAGGTAATTAATTACGTTAATTGGCCAAAAATGCAGCAGCTGGTTGGCCTTGTTGTATAGGAGGCAGTATTGGTCTAGAAATATGTTTAATATTGTATATGTTGTCTTCCATGTGAATATTACATCTAATTCATGAGAGTCTGTGCTTGTTTTTATTTATTTTATCTAAAGGCGTTTTTCCTGTAGAAAGTGAAAAGCATAAATGTTGCTGGCATTCAGATATTTTCCAAAATTTAAAAAAAAAAGATTTTAAAAAAGGCAAAAATAATTAAGAAAAAAAAAATAGCATAAAAAATCTGTAAGGTATTTGTTACATCACTTAATAGCGAGTTACGGCAGTGTTTTTCCTCCTCTCTGGCTCAGACATTCCTCATTTTGCTGCAGGGGCTGGAGAGTTCAGAGATTAAGAGATGTCCCCCTCAAACTCACCTGGTGATTGAACACACCACACTTCAAGGCTTCCGATTGTTTTCATGTTCATTTTTTTTGTTGAAGTGTGCATTTCTATCATTTGAATCTTGAGAGACGTTTGCCACGGAAAGGAGGTGCTTTTAGTTCAACAGAGTGAAAGTAGTCAAGCTCAACTGATCATAAGCTGCTGTCAAGCCAGAAGAAACAGGATGAAGTTGCCTCTGTGGACAATGATCATGTTAAGGTATAATCATCCTAGATCTCTTCGCACAGGCAACTGTGTGAAGCATTACATGCCTACTACTGACAGATAATAAACGAGAAAGGTCTGGACATTTTCAGTCTGTCAGTACTGACTGGCTATCCATACAGAAAAAAAAAGAAGAAATGGTGCCAATTACAGTGAACAGTCATACCTGAATGTATAAATGTGTATAGATAAATATGACCTATGCTTATTCATGAAGTGGTAACTTTTAGCTGTTATTTAGTTTCCAATGTAAGATATAGAAATCACATCCTGTTGAAGAAGTGACAGTCCATCGGGATGGCGTAAGGCATTGTTCTCCCTGCAGATTGGGATTGTGTTTATCCATTTTGCTGATCTAAATGTTAAAAAGTCTCTTTATAGTGTGAAAGGCTGCAGACCCAGATCTCAGCTCGGTACAATGTCACATCACAGAGCTCCTATTCATATTGCTACCCATTTGTTTTACATGCTGTTGATGTGATCCCAGTGGTGTACAATAACATTAAAGAAGATCTCATAAAGGATACTGATGAACAGTCACTGTAATACTTAGGCTGTGCGCCTCCTAAAGGTGCATATTTAGTCGAATGTGACTTTCTTTTCATGTCTCCTTTCCTTCCTCTGCACTGATCTGTACTGGACTGGTGCATTCAACTTCCTGGTAGACATCTTAGTGGTGCTTGTGCTATATTGAGATGTAATTCAGTTGTCTGGTCACCTGACCAGAAACACAGATTTTCCATCCTATGAACTATATACATAATTGTTATTGTGAACAACACAATGTCTCTGTTGTATTGAAATGGTGCAAAAACTTAAGAAATATCCCTGGTTGGGTTCTGTCTATTTGCTTTTATGTTACAGGACTGATGGTGGGATTGAACTGAAAAACTCAATAATGCTGAATGTATGTAGTGCCACCGACAAAATGTTTACCAAACCTCCACTCTTTTCATTAATTAAACTTAAATGTGTGTGCTTTTAAGGGTGTGTTTGTCATTTTTGTCTCTTACTTGACCTTTTTTTCTTCTGATAGATGAGGCAAATTCCCTCATTATTATTTTTTTTTTTTTTTTGCATGTGTCAACTGTTGTTTCCAAAGTCTGGACTGAGCCTTCAAGTCTTGGCCAATCAGACTTGACTTCAGCACTGGTGCTGAAGACACCTACAAATTACACCTCCAAACAAAGATCGCTCTTGTTCGCATCCCAAAGCATAAGGATTGGAAAAGAAAAGCTGCAGCTCGCTCTATCCAAGAGAAGACAGACGGCCAGACTTTGAAAATCCCTGCTTTAGCTAGAAAAATGGAAGCTTGGAGGGTTGCTGAATAGAGAAGCAAAGTATTATTTACAGTTTATCCAAAAATCTGAGCTCTTGCCTGGGAAAACTACAGATTATTTACTAAAGGTGGGGTGGTTAAGTGTTGACTTTGTAAGGTGCACATGCCACAGATCTGATTTTTCCTATTATTTTTTAAACTCATGAAATAGAAAAATGATTGTTTGTCTCCATGTGCCAGCCCTGTGAATGACTGTTGGCTTTTCCAGGATGTACCCTGCATGTCAGCCAATGTCAGCTGGGACACACGCCAGTCCACCTATTTAAAGGATAAGCAGGTGTACTTGATGGATGACATAAAAAGCTAATTTTTTTAACAGGGTGTTTGCTGCAGTGGTTGTATTTACTCCGGTTCATTCCAAAAAAAACAAAGCATGTAATTAGTAAAGGGTTGCCTGAACTGTACAATATAAACAGAGTGAAATACTTGTACTCACCCTGGGATCTAAGCTGCCAAACAGCCCAGGGAAGCCGCTGTGTTGCTGCCCTTTAACAGAAGAGGGGCGGTTAACCATAATGTAGACAGACACTTTCACTGGGTCATTGAACAGTCATTGCTTCAAGTGGAAAACACTCCTCACTTCGTAGTTTAACAGCTCAGTGTATTTTTTTCCAAGAGATGCTGCTGCTGAGGTCCTCACCGTGGACTCCTGCACCGTCTGTGATGCAGAGAAACCCCTGGTGAGGGTCAGTCAAGATGCTCTCGTGATTTTGGCCCAGTTCGGTATAACACCTTTATTAAATTTAAGTGAATGAGCTTTAATCCTCTGTTGTCTCTCCAGCTTCAGTTGGAAAGAGAACGTTTGCAATGTCACAAATAAGGTGAATGAATCATCACATCACACTGGTTTCAATGAGAGGTTGTTCATTCACCCTGTTTTCTGCAGGGACCGAGGAGACAGAGGCCAACTGTTTACCAATCTGTCCCACAGTGGGAGCTTCCTGCGGCGATCAGGACTCTGGCCCGTGAAGCCAGATGGCAGGTCATGGCAGGTCCCTGTCATGAGAAATGGCATCATTGGCTACATGAAGGCATTTCACAAGGCTGGCAGATTTGCCACGAAGGAACAGTCCTTCAGGAAAACCAGTGGCACAACTGCCCGGCTCTCATAAAGGGAGGCAAATATTTGCGTGGCAGCTCATAAAAGGGTCATTATGCAGCAAATTAGGTTCTTATCAGATGGTGGAAAATTAAACAAAATAGCGCCGCTTTACGCAGTGATTGGCAGGTGAGAAATCATTGTTTGAGCTTCTGTCTTAAGCTTTCCTCTTTTAATTATGTAGAAACAAATGCACAGGACAAAAGTGCATGCCCCTGTAAGAACCCTTTTTAGGATATGGATCCATCTCCAATTTCAACTGTGTCTGCTTAAAGAACATTAAAACAGTGGGATTTTAAAAAAAAGTCAAGAAACCAAACATAAAATTCAAACATCTTTATATCAACTCCAGCAAAAATACAAACTTCTTAACATAAAGATGTATCATTCTCGGGATTACCACAAATAAAGCAGGTATTTCTTTCTAATATACAAAATCAAAATATTTAAATAGCAACTGTAAAGAATAAACATGTTCAAGTCTGGTATTTGGTGGGCTGTTTTAGATTTGCTATATTCAATAGCCTAAATGGAGTTCTTAAATAACAATAAAAACACGGTGGACCTGGTTTGCATGTACAGATGGTTTACCCCGTTAAGGTAAATGACCATAATTAAAAAAAATAACACTGTGCTAAAATGGTATTTTTCCTTTGACAATACACTAACGCACGTTACTACTGTGGAAGTCAACAAACTTCACATTATGAGAACTTCTGCCTGACAGTCAGTGACAAAAAACAAAAACAAAAAAAAAAAACAGAGTAAAACCCCAATTCACTGTATACACAACTCAGAGGTCTGACTAGACTACCCCAAAAAATCATATCCAGCTTGTGAATTAATACGGGAAGGAATTATCACGCTTTAACGAACCAATAATGGGTAAAAGGCCGTGAACTTCATTTTATATTTCCCAATCAAATATACATCATTTTCAGGCCTTTGCTCTGAGGCATTATTGTTGGCAAACAACCAGAGTCATCTCAGGTTTTTCTAGAACAGCACTAAATGTGCAAACACAATTTTGGAGAGGTTTGGTATTGTTAAAGATCAGGGGTATAAATATAATGCTGGGTTTTGCGGCTGAACTGGAAGAGTTACTGAAACTGTCCCCACATTAACTAGATGTAACATGCAGAAGCAGGTAAAATACTCAAAGTCACCATTTTGAGCAGATAACAAAGGGTGCAATGGTCAGAACTGACTGCAGAGGTACACAGGGATGAAACCTGACCCCAAACAACACAAAAAAAAAACAAAAAAAACAATACAAACATTTTTTTTCAAGACACATACAGAGCACGTATGTCTGTTTTAACAATTCAGACTTCAACATCTAATACGACTATAATAAGAACAATTTTATGTTAATGCTCTGGGAAAATGGGCATAAAAATAAACCTGTCAGCTTGGAGTAAGTCAGAAATTCTGAATGCCTCAGTCAACATAAGAATTTGCAGATGACGCACGAGGCACAGACTGTGTGAACGGAAAGAGTTTGCACGCACTCCGTGAAGCAAATGAATGTTGACTGCCTCTCCTGGAATTGAAAGCTGTTCTAACTAGAGGACAGGAGTTTTCACATTTAGCGACACATTCTATTACATTACGTTTCATAAATAAGGCACCTGGTCACAACAGTCACATATTCACAATGTTGTGATTGGAAGACAGGCTGGAGATACAAAATGTCGACTTACTGTCCGTAAAAATTGTATTCAAAGCTCCCTTCTCATATTAAGCTCTCTGAACAGTAAACGCAGTGCATGCTATCATCTAAAACAAGAATTATATACAAAATGGCCCAAAAAAAAAAAGGAAACAAAAGGATGGTAAATGAACTGAATGTCACCTTGATAACTGTATCTCATGTTTGTCATCCCGACTTCTAAAATGAGGTTTGATAGGCTATTGTTATCTCCAGCCGTGTCGTAGAGTGCTGAAACATAAAGCCAAACAGCAACTACAACTGCTAGACATCATGAAGGACTTGTCTGTAGTCCCTGAACACAGAACAAATGCCGAGCTAATAAACCATCACATTTGCGTTGTCACACTGAAGCTTTAACGAAAGCATAAATGAATTTCAAAATCTGTTCCTTCGTATATTTGCCTACTGAAAAAGGTATTCTCTGATGAGTTATGTGAGTGTACAAAATAGATACATTTGGTCCTTCTGAGTAAATTCCAGATATGAGAAAATGAAAAAAAAAAAAAAGAAAAATCTATCTGTCTCTCTCTTGCAGGTCCGTGTTATTTCGAGAGTGATGTCCTGGTACGCTTTGCTGGGGTCTCTAAAAGCTCCTGAGCTCTCTTGGTTGCCAATTTTCTAGCACTGCGTGGCAAAGAGGATGCCTGACTTCTCTTTGCAGGGGACTTTAAAGCCCCGCTTCTGGTCAGTGTAGGTTCATCAGCTTTCTTGGCTGACTTTGGAGATGCATTCTGTGCTGTCATGGACTTTGTGGCCCTCTTAGGAGCTTGACTGGGGGTCCTACTCGAAGGGACTGCTGCCTCCATTTTTCGCTGAGATCTTGTTAGTACCTGGTCAGGTGAGGTTGGAACCTTGACATTCGCGCTCTGCTGTGAGGTTTCAACAGCATTCTCGGTACCTTTGATTTCAGCACCTGTACTTTGCGATGATTCCTTAGTTTGCATTTTTGCAGAAGTCACTTTATTCGCTGCAGGTTTTTCCACCTCTGGCTTTTCTGCTTCCATGTGTTTTTTATTGTTACTTCTAGACGTGTCGACAGGGTGAGGCTCAGATGTTTTCGGAGATCCTAGTCGTTGAGAACATCTCTTTGGCAGTTCTTTTTTTGTTGCATCTCTTGAAGCCTTGCTACTGCTCTGAGCCTTGACTGCCCTCGCTTGAACATTTTGCTTTGCAGACTTTTTCCCAGCCAATATTTTCCTTCTTTCCATTTTTGCTGCAGACTCTTTGATTTGTTTACTGACAGGTAAGGCTGATTTCTGTGCCTTCAGAGAAGGCCTCAGATTAGACTTAGCGGCAGACTTTGTTGTTTTCAGTCTTTTCATTTTGTTGGTTTTTAAGATTTTTGAGGCCTTTTTCAGTCTGACTGTGGTTTGCTGGACTTGCATCTTTCCTCGAATATTAGAATATTTCCTCAAGATCCTTGCACTAGCTGGATTCTTTGATTTTCCAGAGGATTTCTGGGATTCACCTATCTGTGCAGAGGCTTTGGCAGAGGAGTACGACTTAGTCAAAGTCTGAGTGGTACAGAGAAGTTCTCTCTCTTTCCCTTTGACTGCATTTGACTCTTGCTCCAGTGCTTTAGCGATTAGCTTCTGACTCTTGGGGTTGCTCTTTACAGGAGAGGCGATGGCAAACTTTTTTAAATGTTTCTTTAAGCGCTCTGCCTGTAGGCTTGGAAACACCCCCTGAGAGGTCCCTGATGCACTCGATGAGCTGTGGAAGCACAGCTGAGTTTCTGACGGAAGACGAGTATTTACCTTCTTGACAATGACAAGGGACTTTGTTTCTGTTGATTCAAGGAACCAGCGGCAGATACTGGTGAGATTAAAACCTTTCATAAAAAGCATTTGAACTGGTGAGTATTTCTGGTGCTCTGACGACTTTGGTTTACGTGCCCTGCGTTTACTTTTCCATATAGCTGCCTGTCTGTCTGCTTTGTTTTTGTATTTTGTGGCTGGCTGGCCTTCTTTGTCCATTTGCACCCAGCCTTTTTGCATTTTATCATACTTAACATTCAGATTTGTAATCAGGTGTTGGCTTTCTTCTCCAGCCAGAGTCTCAAGGAATTTGCTAGCCGTTTGTTTTGGGGGGTCATGTCTGGTTGTAATGAGAGGGACTTGTGAGCTGTGGGGCACAGATGATAACACTGCCGGGGGCCTCACCTGAGCTTTAGTTATCCTTTCTGGCATAATTCGGACATTAGAAGCTACATCACTTTGTCTTGCAGGAAGAGCACTGGTTGAAGGTGCTGCCAATCTTTGTGACCTCAAAGCTAATTTCTTGTTGTCTACTGGTTCAGTCTTACTGCTTTCACTCCTTAAAGGCATTCTGGTGGGTCTGTCTGACATGGAAGAACTTCCATCATCTCCACTTGCAGATCTGTCCTCTAAAGATGCTGCGTTCGGCTTCTGCATCAAAGCCACATCACTTGCTTCAGCCTCCTTCCGGAGAACCCGTTTACTTCTCAATGGCATAATCTGTGTTTGCATTTCAGTCTTTTCAGGACTTTGACTTTCTAATAAACTCGATACCTCGCTGTCAAGTTGCTGCTTTTCACTTTTACAATCATCTGCTACAGCCTTGGCTGATCTTAGTTTTTGTTTGGCCTGCAATCTTTTTTCTTCTTCACTTTTTTGCGTTTCTTCACTCTCTACTGGCTGAGTATTTTCACTGTTAAAGTCCATAGTTTCTGGGATTATGTTCTGTTGGGACTGCTCAGAGGCTGTGGGTTCGGATGGCTCGACTAGAGGGGACGTAGTAACAGGAAGTGGATGAGGAGAAGGGAGGGAGGGTAGCTGCTCTGTAGATGGAAGATCAAGGGTAGTTGTAGGTTTTGGAGATGAAATGTCAGTGACAGCATTTGAAGTGGGCATTGACACTGGAGTTTCAGGTGGCTTCTGTCTGGTTGATCGAAGCTGCCGTTTGGGTTCAGTGCTTTGAGGGTCACTAGGCTGATCAGAGTTCAGAGACAAATTATCTTGATCTTTCTGAACTCTCTTTTGTTTCTGAGTTTGTTTAGTCCTGGAGGGAAGTTTAGAGTTTGGGCTTGATGAGGTGTCAGAAGATGGTTCTGGCACAGGACTAGTGTCAACTGATTTTACAGGTGTGCGTGTTTCAGGTGGAGGTTCTTCCAATTTTTTGTTTTCACTGGTTGAATCAATAGTTGAATCAATAAAACTATTGTTTGGTACATTCTGACTAGATTTTGCAGGACTTTTACTAGGTGATGTGGGGTTACTTGCTCTACGACGCAGACTTCTGTCAGAAGCCGATATGGGTCTACCATTAACGTAGCCCACTATCGTGGTTTCTGTTTTACTCGGCCACTTTGAAGGTGGAATTTTGGTACCTTTTTTCCTTCGACAAGCTGGTAATTCCACAAGTGTTTCAAGTGTCTTCGAGGACACATCGTCATCCTTATCATTATCAGCTTCTGTCTCCAAAGACGTAACACTGTCGACTACTCCAGATATTTTAATTTCTGTCTCTTTCCCCTTTTGCTCCTCTGCTGAACTTGTCGTATTTTCCTCTTCTGTCATTTCAAAGTTGTCATAGTGTATCTGTGCTTCCGGTTGGAGTTCCTGAGGTTGCTCATCTTGCTTTTCATCCCTTTTATCTTCCTTTATCTCTTCATCAACTTGGTTCACTGGTGATGGGGTGCGACTCTGCCGGAGAACAGGTTCATTGCTGTGCGGTTTATCTGTTGAAAGCTGGGGTTCAGCTTCGTCTATGCTAATATTCTCCAATGGCTCCACAATTGTTTCAGTGACTATTTGCTGGGTACTTTCTTGAGACTCTGGCTCACTATCTTTTACGGTTTCAAATGGAGTTTGAGCGACAACTTCTTCACTTTCCATTGTCATCCCTGAATCTGCAATTTCATCTTGTTCTACGTCTGTGTTCACAACACTATCTCTGTTTTCTGGTGGGCACTTTAATGGAGATGAAGGAGCAGATTGCCCCTTGTTCTGACACTGATCTGTCTGACTAGTTTCAACTACAACATCTGCTTTACTCGCTGCTATCTCTACTATGTCTCCTGTTCCTGGGATCACACTCCCATCTGACTCCTCTGCGGGCATTTGTTGATTCATTGTCTCCCTGCAAGGTCCAGCAAAAGGCATATCCACAGGTGGTACACCTTCAGGCCTTGAAAGTATTTGTTTTGGGGTGACCAGTGTCATCAGCTCTGGCATTGGATTAGGACAGTTGCCCCTCCCAGCCAATGTACGAACAGTTTTTAACTCCCAGATATCGTCTGAATACATGTGTCCTCTGGTGCTTTTTCTGGCATTGCGTCGTGGGAGCATGCTGCGCTGTTGTTCTTTAAAACACTCCGTAATTGGTTTGTCAATAAAAACAATGTCACAGTGGCCAAAGTCAGGGTCAACCAATGACCTACAAGCAGAATCTCTGGTCCGGGGATCAAAGGATGCCTTGATGGTCTTCCTGGCAGTCCGCGCAGAGTCCGAAGGAATGGTCATGTGGACTGGAAACAGATTTGCTGGTGTATCTTTGGCATGCCCGAGAGTCTCTCTCTGCCTGTGATGTGTGTGACTAGCCTGATTGTGTCTTTTTACAGAGGAGCTGAGTCGAGCACTATGAGTCTCTGTCCTGCTGGATGAATTTGAGTTACCCTGTCTGTCCTCCAAAGTGTCAGTGTGAGAAGAAAGCACACATGACAACTTCTTACCAGCAGCAGCGTTGCTGGTCATGATTTTCATCTTAAGAGGTGCGTGATCACCGTGACGGTTGTTATCTGCATCCACCGAATTAGCAGTGAGAGAGGCCAAAGCCAGGCTACTCGCTGACCCAGGACTGCGAAGATCCAGAGCAGGGCCAGCAGTTACAGATGTTTTGAGCGACACGGCATTCTCTGGAACATTTCTCACTGTACAGCTGCTTGGGATCGAGTGGGCCATATCCTGGACTTCTGACTTAGGAGTGGATTCACGGGGAAATTTTAGCTCAGGCCGTGATTTCTCAGGGGTAGTTTCCTGAAGGACAGAGGTAGAGTTAGAGGCTTTCTGTGTATGGGAGGATCCAAGTGCTTTGACCTCCGTCTGTAGAAAACCTATGGCATCTACTATCTGTCTCTGATGGTGCGGGCATAGTTTGGCCATGAACTGTTCCAATGTAGATGTGGACTGCAGGTCTTTTGCCTTTGCAACACGGAGGTCTGGAGACTCACTAAAGAGAAAAGAAGAACAAAATATATGTCAGTGCACATCAACAGGAAGCAATATTGATTCATACTGATATGTGATCTGGAGAAAAAAATGCCAGCTGACTCTCAGTGCCTAACTAAAAATGTGGATCTAAATGTTTGTGCAAAATAATCAATATAACACATTTATGACAATGTTTATAGTTGCATATTTATTAGAAGAATAAGTGATTTTTAAAAGTGAATCATTCATCCAGTGAACTTGACCAATTACATTATTACAGCTACTACATTTTTCTTTGTTGCACAGGTGCTTTTTTTCTTTTTTACAGTATACACCAAGAAAAAATTATACATGCACAAGACATTTAGTAATGGTACTCACTTCGATTAAAACAAGTCAAACACATTAATCACTTGAAATAGCAAATACATTAGGGGCAAGTATTGAGTACATCAGTTTTGTCAAGTTCTCATGTTGAGTTTCTTAATGACTAGTGCAAAGGGTGACATTTAGATACAAGTGCTCAACAACTTAAGACAAACTATCCAGTAAAAGAAAAATCAAGCATCACTAAAGATATACAAAATCATCATTATTAATACGCATGAGGTTTTCGTTGTGCCAATACAAGTTTCATACAGTTAGCTGTACGAATAGTTGGGGCATATTTATTTTTTCAGTATTTTTTTTGGCTGAATATGCATCAGTGTGGCAGGTCTATGACTAAATTCTCTAATGACTTTGGAGGACATATATCACATTATGCCCCCCCAAAAATTCAGTAAGTATGAAATGTTTATCTTCAAGTCCTTCCCAAGCTGCACTGTAGTCTTTTAAAAAGAGATTTTAAAAAATGAAACCATAAATGAATTCATTCCTGAGGTGACATGTCACAAGGCTAAGTTAAATATTGAAAAGATAAATTGCTTTTCACACAGCATATACCGCAGCACAAGAGGTGCTGGCAACTGCAAGATAAACAGTCAGAAATAAAATTGATGGTCTGTTGACCAGTGTGTTTAAAAAGAGGAGAACTACAAAGTAATACAATACCTATATAACCTTTAATATAAATGCAAATACATTGCCAAATGTCATTCTATTAATGTTTTTATGTTGTAATGCTGAAATCTGTAATGTTGCCTTTTTTACGTTTGAGCTACAGCAACAATAGTGGATTAACTAGTGTTAATATTATTATAGAGCCTCCAATCTGTTTTGGCTTCCAGCAATATAAAAAGGAGGCAAAGTGAAATTTCATGGATCAAGTTGGTAACTTACGTGTGAAACTTGAAACTGTAAAAGTTTCAGGTGGTTTTAGTGTCAGTATATTCCAATAGAGGAATGGCCAAAACAATATAAGCATTTAGATTTTAAAATATTTAAAATACAGATTTCAGCTTTTTATTTTTTTATTACAATAGTCTCAAAAAAGTGGGAGGCCTAAAAGCTGTAAAGCATCAGCAGCAAGTGAGAAGACTACAATGACTTTTGTTAACATGCAGAGGTGCAGTTTTGGGGTGTTTCACTAAACAGTTTTTTGTTTTTTTCCTATTTAATCTATGCTGCTTGAGGCACTAACCTGGAAAGAAAGTTGTGAATTAAATACCCCATTGGTCAACATTATACCTGCACTGAGGTTATATTGACATTCATTATGTAACAGTATAAAATGAATATGACAGTGAAAAGATGTACTAAGGGTTGTTTTTGTTTGTTTTTTTTGGCTCTGAACGCAAAGTGATTTGTACAGCATGCCAAAATATCTCAACTGTTACTTTTAGAGATTTAAAAATAAGTTTTAGAGATTAAAAAAATAACATTTGCTGGAACTAGAACCTGACCAAGTTTTTTGCTAAGCTAATTAACATATCCCTGCTTGCAAGGTCTAAGGAGTAAAGTGGAGTACCTGAATAAGTAGTGGTAAGTGTTTCATCCCTGAGAGTTTTGCTCTCTGTTTCACTTAGCATTGCAGTAAGGAACTGACACAAAATACATGCCTTTTTCTTCCAGTGAAAGTAAATACCCAAGCTAACAAGCACAAGCAAACCAAATTACAACTGAGTTTCACTATATTTCACAAGCACACAAATGCGGATGCATTAACTCATCCACAATAGTCTTATACTATACATCTGGGACATAAATAATCTGGCAATTACGAACTACAATACGAGGGCATTTTATCTTACATATTTAGTGAATCATTAACCAGATTTTGAACTGGTTTAGTAATATTTCTGTGTCACAGTAAATATACTTAATACATCGATGACTGAACAGCTAACACACCAACACTCCAGTATTTGTTTTCAATAAAACATCCTCAAAGAGAAACTTTACAACCCACTCCCCAATGATGCACATGATTTAGTCCAATCATGCAAAATACACCCAGTGTCATCATTTATATACTGTGTTAAACCATATATACAAAGACTGAACGTATTTTCATGGACAGGGGTACTCTGTAGCTCTTTTAAGAGCCATATCATATGCAGTTGCAAAAAAAAAAAAAGACTTTGGTCCTCATATATTATATTTACCAAGCAAAGGATAACCAACTTGTGTCAGAATAAGGTAGGACAGTCTTAAATCTTTCCTTCTCACATCTATCATATAAGACATCTAAATATACCTTTTATGCATTATAAACTCTTGATGTTGTACTGTATTAAAGCTGTTTACATTCATGGTTACTTAAGTGATAATAAAACTATTAATTATCAATATTGATTAATAAATACTGCATTAACAAAATAACTCCAAATATATTATCAGTTTAAGAAGGTATCTAACAAAGGGGAAATTCTTTCCCAACTGTAGGAACAAAACAGTTCCTCCGAAGCAGGACACCATCAAAAAAACATGTGTCACAACAAAACAACAAACCGCTCCATCCCCATCCCAAAGAGGAAACAACAGAAATGAGAAAAACATTAAATAGAGCAGGGTGCAATTAAATACATAGGATACACTGCAATATTTACATATGGTTGAACTTTGATATTTTCTGCTGTCTTACACTTGATTTATGACCATTCTTTTTGTAAGTTACTCTCCTTCACTCAAAAAATCTTACAGTAAACTGTGTGTTGTGTGCATGAGAAATTGCTACATAAAACAGCTATGAGAACAGTAGACTGTGATATGGGTTTTCCAGATGAGGTAGTCAACCATCAGATTTGCTACAATAGAAGGTGAGGACACAAAGACATGATTCACCCTTCAATACACCCAAAGCGCTTCTTTGTCTATATATTATTTAAAGATACATTAGAAAATAAAGTGTGACTTGAGTAATGCTGGATGATTGTCAATGCAAGAACAATATAATTAATGACAGTGAATCCGTGACACGATTTCATGTAATATTCAATGAAGCAACAGCTTCAAGCTATTCTAATATTTTGTGAATAAATTATAAGCCATTTAGAGTGGTTGATCAGTTACAAACAATCACACTTTTTACGTTTATATTGAGAGAAAATGAAAACTATATATTTAAAAAAAACCTAACTAACTAAAAAGTCCCTGCATTTAGAGCAAGAGGTGGCAGTATACAAACAGAGAATAACAGAAGCCCAACAGGTTGGTCAGTAAGTTTCCCATCGAACATGCGGTTGTCTTATTGTTACAGTGTTACTAATACACAAGTGTGCAAGTCCCTGAACTGTATGTTGCTGCTGAACCAATTCTCACTTTAACATGTTTACAATCCAGACAATTTCATGTACTTTTTAATTGCTAATATCTGAGTTAACTGCTTGGAGTTAAAAATTTCCTCAATCAAAACATCCATGTTTAAGCAACACTACATTTGAAAGGCTGCAAGATTTGCAAAAACATCATTACCAAGATTTGCTAGAGCTTTGTGTCAACCTGATAAAAGAATAATGGGGCATGAGCCCATATTCTGAAGAGACCTGAGGTAAAAGTGATAATGCACAATGAGGTGTCCCGTTAGAGCAACAATGGACTAGGCTGAGTCAAAAATCAGGCAAAAATTCAATGAAAATGGGAACATGCCTTCTGTATTCAATCTGAAGGACCAAGACCCAAAATTAGTATACATTTTTAAGAAATGGCATCAGCCTGAGCTTTGGTGTATATCTCAAAATGGTTTCAAGATGAGAATGTTTATGGTTTGTTTCTTTTTCCCTTCCCAACTAAAAACCAGTTTTAGAGGTCAGCAATCAACTTTAAATCATTATCCATGCAGTATTACAAAGTGACAAAAATACATGTAAGTCTGGCCTTGTCTCTAACTGCACCCGCAAATCAAACCCATTAATGGTCAATCAAATATAACTAGACTCTTCAATGCAAAACAGCCTGACGTAATACTTTACATTCAATAATTCAAGCCAATGAAACAAAACAATTTTCACTGAATTTTTGCCTTGAGAAATAGGCGGTGTGTGTGTGTGTATTGAGGCATGATTGTAACCAGGTTAGCTAATTCAGCTAGCTAACGAATGTTAACAAGCTACAACAAAGTATTATCCTCAAAAAAAACCAAACAAACAAAAAAAACAGAGGATGACCAAAAGAGACAATTCTTCATCACATGCAGCAGGCATGTACGTATGTGTGTGTATTCTACATATGTATAGAAGTACAATGTTTTTGTATTTTGATGACGAGAAAAAAATAAGTAAAAGTTCTACTTTTGTGTCGCATCCCAGAGATAGTATATGAAATCAGAAAAATATGAGCCCTAAATCCTAAATCACATAGAACTGAAATGCTCTGAAGGCTTACATGAGCACTGAAATGCTACCGACAACCACTTAAGGTAGGTTGTGAAGACATCTGAGAGTAGGACACGCACACTTGTCAGTAAGACATCCTGAAATGTTACCTCAAAAGGCTTATTTGGGTATAGATGCTATCTTTCCCCGTTAGAGGTGACTTATATGAGGCAATGATTTAGCTGAGCATATCTGTAGCTGAGGTATATTTATATGTATACAGTAATGCATTATTTGATAGAGATATTTTCTTTGACTGACAAGTACTGCAGCCCAATCTGAACTTATCCTGAGTGCAGTGAAGGCAATGAACAAAAACTATTACCAATCATACAGCAGAGAAAAACATACCAAAAAAAAAAAAAAAAACGTAGGTGGGAAAAAACTGTCATGCTCGTGAAGATAACTGAGACTGAACAGGAGAGTGAAATTCAGGGCGACAGACTATGCCATTCCAACAGACTAGAATAATAAATAAATATTTTTGTTATACAATAGTGTTTTGACATAATAAATATTTTAGTGTGTGGACATACTGTTAAATGTCCTGTGGAGTCACACAAGTGCATTTGCAAAACAATGACAGTGGCTTGTATGGTCCTCCATAAACATGATGCATGGATAGATATTAAATATGCTTCCTTGCAGGGCCTGCACACTCAGATATTCAACTGTAGGTTCACCCTGAGCGTATGACCAGTACTGCGAGGAGACACTGAGGGGCGCCACATCCTTGGGCAAGCATTTGGCTCTGTGCGTAAAAGATACACGTATAGAGCATCAAATTATTATTTTTAAAGCGCAACCTAATCAAACAAAGTGAAATTAGTTTAAAATTTGAGTATAGAAAAAATTCTTAAACAGCAAGCATGCCTTCTAGGCACAATATGTATTGCATGAAGACATCTGAGTGTTTAAGATAGATGCCCATACACATACATATTAATTTACTAATGACTAAAGCGGGGAGTTAAAATTACATAACTTAACTATTAGGGATTTATGGACAACCAAGTCCGCTATTACCACTGTCTGGCAAATGCAATGGTTAAAAAGTACATAATTGTTAGTATGTAATGGATGTATTACTCATTTGATGAAAGGTTTTCATCCTGGAAATCAGTCCCACTCTCATCAGCACTCTCTTTTTTCTCAGAGACAATGTGCTGGGAGTTTTGGATTTCTTCTGTTTTGGGGGACTTTGAAACACCCTGTTCCTCCACCTGGCTTATCAGCTTCATTTTCTTTTTAGGGGGATGTTTCAAGGTCCCCAGACGCTCTTTAACTTTGTATTCCAGGGTGCTGTGTGGAATGCCATAGACTGATTGGGCTTTAGATACACTCATTTTCCCACCCATCACCACCACAATAGCCTCTTCCAGTAGCTCCGTGTTGTACTGTCGATACCGCCCCCGTTTCTTCCTTGGTTGCTTGTTAGCTAGGTCAGACTCTGAATCCATAGGATAGTTTGCCCCCAAGGCTTGGCGGTCAGCAGAGAAAGGCCAATATTCCTTCTCCAAACCTGAGCTATTAAATCCTCCGCTCTTTTTCTGGAACTGTTTGGGCAGAATGGAAGAAAGCTTCTTTCTCAGACCGTTCTCACAAAGTGAGCCTGAATATTCGGTAGAAATGGAATCCCAAGCTGGTTCGGTTCCTGTGGCCAAAACTCGCACCTGGGGAATCTTGAGGTCAAAAGATGATGAATGAGAAAGGGAAAAGCTGGAATCCCTGCAGGCCTCCTGGAGGCTTCCTTTCTCGTAGGCAAGTGACTTTGTCAAAAGTCCGGCAGCTTCCAACAACCTGGGTATGTCTTTAAGGTGCTCACTAGCTTCATTGCTGGTTTTGAGTTTGAGTAGGGCCCCAATATGAGTTTTCGAATTCCAGGAAGCAGGCGCATCTCTGAAAAGGTCACTGGGGCTGGAGTTGCGGTTATGGCTGGGAGGTGACTCTGGGTCGCTCTCCAGATCGGCCTCCTCTTTGATGTGGAGCGAGTATGCAAGAGGCGAGGAAGGCTTATAACAGGTGGAGTGGCCGAAATTCTCCCTCCTCCTCCCATCCTGTAGGCTCCTCATAAACAGCCCGACTTGTCCGTCCGCTCTCAAGGATCGCCTGATTGGATGGAAGGAAATTGGGTGTGAGCAGAGCTTGCACAGTGCCCTTTTCTCTTTTCTAAAGGAGGATGGGTTGGGGAGGGGAGGATGTTGGCCACTCCTTTATTATATGACCTTGCTTTGGTAACATCACTATCTTTATGAACAACTGACTGTGTGAATGTGCGTGTGACTTTTAAGAACAAAAAAGGCTCAAGTTTGACAATTTTTTATTAGCTTGCTTTGATAATTGTTTACAAATTTTGCATTGACATAAGAAAAAAAGAAACAAAAAAGAAAGGGCATAGAAACAATGAAAGTAAAAGCAAAGAAAAGGCACTTATTGGAATACAAAGTCTTAGTATTCCTGAGGCTCAAAAAGCACAGCCAGGAGGAGGGGTGATTTGTCATTGCAGTAAGGGAACTTTGCATGTGAATGTTAAGCAGGGCACAATAACTATGCCATACAAAATGACTAATGCAAATAAGGCTTTTGGCATTTTGTGTGTGACGTTACCACTGAACAAGCGCAGCAATAAAAGAGTAAGCCAGCAGAGGGTTGTTGTGTGTGTCAAACTATCAAACCCAAAACCTAACTGACCAACTTGAGTCACCAAAAAAATGCACAGTTCATTGGCAACTAGTAGTTTGATCAAAATCACATTTTTAAAAATGATTTAGTTCAAAGGCATAACACTTTTCCCCTAAATTATGAGTCATCTCCACTGCATGGGGGAATAATTTTCTCATGTCAACTAATATGCCTGCATCAATAGCTTCACATTTAAAAAATGTCTTGTCTCTTCCCCTTAGGGCCTTATGAGCTTAGTACGGGTTTTGACTACCTCATTGCTCCATATATCTTAAATGTAGAGAGTTTTTATATAGACAACGGCAACTTTTAGCATGCTGAGGACAGTGTAGACAAAAAGCAGAGGCAGGTCTACTCTGCTAAGACTAGATCCTATCAATTCTTCAAGTACTTCAAGCAGTAGCAAGTGAGAATGTAAAGCCACTGGTGCTTAGTTATTAAAAAAAATAAAAAAGTAATTAGAAATATGTTTAAATCCAGATGAGTAGAAAAGTATCAGGAGTCTTTGCTTTCAAAGAAAATTTAACATTACCCAACTACAAAAACAACAACAAAAAAAATCCTATTTAAATACAGGTATTGTCCTAAGTCTTTGATTTATTTTAAAAAATAAATAAATTGACAATTTTACTACGGTGAAGAAAATCAATACAGGAATACAATCCTAAAAAAAGGGCTTTTGTATTTTCTAATATTTGGTATCAGTGACCACACGCATTATATTATTATAAGCATAATAATAGGTGTCCAGGCAATGCTTACAAATTGGTATTAAAAACAACTAAATGCAATCCATTCTAACTTTACTTGTAATGTAGCAGTTTCCTCAACTGCAAAAAGTTTGTGCAGGGTTGTTAATCCTCAAAAAGCAGTTTCAAGTGGTATTATCTAACCGGGAATCTGCTACAGTAGTCTATGGGTAATTGTTCTGACAAAAGGTGGGCATTATGGATTACTCACCTTGCAAATAGGTGCAAAAATATTAGCAAGTCCTGTAGTAAATCATCATCACCATCAGGACAGCCAATTTCTGGCCCGAAATTAATGAACAGGAACCAAGAACAAGGCCATGATAATGGAATAATTTGAAGCCACAATATTTCATAAACTAACAAGATGCTGCCTATTTAGTCCCTAGCTGATATTACCAGTGACCTGTCAGACCAAAAACAAGGAGCAGGCAGCTGGAATAGCTTAAAACTAATAAGTTATTCACTTTGAAGGGCAGCATTTTAGAAACTGCATTCCCTAAGATGAGTGGGACTTCTATAAGCAGATTCAAGTAGTGGAAGCACTTGGGAGAGGTTTCCCTTGGTTGCATTTTCAATGTTTCTCTGCATCAGAAAAAAAAATGATAGCACAACCCTGTTTGTTGTCATTGATCTCCAATTTCAGGACTCAAATTTCAGGCCTCAGCTGATGCTAGTACAAACACCCTGTACACCAAATCTTTTGAAATTCATTTTGGTGGTTGTAAACTACAACATAAAAAAACATGAAAAAAACATTACTGCTTAAGGACTGGAGACTAAACAGAAATAAATGGTTCTTACCCCTTCAGCATGGTTGTGGCTGGAGAAAGGCTGGGACTATGGACAGGCAGGCTGCTGCTGTAGCGATTCTTTTTGAGCGACAAATCAAGGACTCCATCTAAAAAAAAAAAGGCAGGAAAAACTCCATTCACATTCAATGTTAGTTCAGCCTGGCCTATAACCAGTGCACTTGTTCAGTAACTCTGCTACAGATGATTTTCACACTACCTTGTTCACTGGGCTCAGCCAGGGGCTTCTTGATTGTGAGGTCAAGAGGAGCATCCTGGTCAGCCATGAGGAGTTTGCTTAGGACGGGGTTCTGGTTGTGTGCTGGCCCAGCCAGAGTGGCAGCGGGGCTGGTAGGTGGAGGAGGAGCCCCTGAGAGCAAGGGTGGGGCTGGCAGGCTTTGGTCAGAGTGAGGCTGGGAATCTGAGCGACTGTCCTGAGGGGGGCTGGTTTTTGAGGTATATTCGGCAGCAAACTGTCTGATCATTCTCTGAAGAATCTCTCGAGCCACTACTGGAATGTGTGGGTCTGAGAAATTTGGCACATCTGAAAGGAGAAACATATGGAGGTCAAATATGTTCAGTCTGCATTCCTTTACTGAGCCATAAGTGATTAGTCAACATGCCACCAAACACACCAACTACATTCTGAGAATATTTTTCAGAGTAAAATCTTGGTCCTTTGTGGTTTTATTGGTGCTGTAAGAGCTGTAGTTGTAGCAATTGAAGCTAATGTGCAAAACATAAGCATTCCAAAATGTAAAATCATACTAAGCGTTCGATTACACCAACTTGTCTGCAGACAGGTTTTCTTATACAAAGCTCATTAGTGTCATAACATAGCAAAATACTGACACCCACCTCATCACTGAGGCAGTAAAACTCACCTTTTCTGCAGAGGACTGCATTGAGAAATTCCTCGGCTTGTTTCTCTAATCTGCTGATCGTGATCTGGTCTTTTAACAAGAGGGGTTTGGGTGTATCTTCAAGTCCCTCCTTGTTTAATCCAATCAAGTGTTCCTATCAAATTGAAAAGTGTTAAATCAGTGACCTTTAAACTTTAACAGGACACATACATACTTAAAAACACATTTTTTTATTGTTAGATGAGTGATTTGATCAAACAATGACTTATTCTACTTAGAAACCATGAGAGCACAGGAATCTTTAATGCACTTCTAACATTTATTTTATTGTCTGCTAAATCCAAATCTATAAAGAGTCTGGATTTTATCACACATCCTATGCTCTTTAGCTAAAGCGACAGTTTAAAAAGCATAAAAGCTACAAAACAACACAATTTAGCAAGACAGCTTCAAGTTTTTCCACCTACAACTGAATGAAAACTAATGGTCAAAATATGAATGACACAAAGGAACAGAGGGGAAAAAATCTACTTACTTTTACTTTGTCTCTTCTCAAACAGCAGAACAGACAGTTTTCATCGAATGACCAATCAGACACTGCTATAGGTTCAAAGTCTGTCGACACAAAACAAATGAGAGACAAAGAAAATCAGTTGTGTGACAAAATGTTTGTCCTTGATTTTTTTCTGAACTACTAAGCAATCAGTATTTAACTTTGTAACTTCAACCGTTTTTATTGCAGAACTAAGTTTATGTATACTTTAAACAGACTTGACAAAATGACAGCATTACTAATAATAAATATAGTACAGAAATATTTAAGAATGTGTTCTTTTAATGTCTGACTGACCTTCACACAGTACATTTTGTTTTAAAACTGTCTCTGTATTATCACCAACACAGTGACCATACTGTCTAGACACAAGTAGAATGCAATCATAAATAATGTCTCTTTTGAAACCGACAGTGTCTCATATTCAATTTGAATTTTTTTTCAGTTCCCAACTCAATAACAAGGCTCTCGAGAGAAATCTATGAATGAAATGAAGGAGTGGGCCATAATGAAAGAGATTTGAATTGTTTTAGTGAGACTGGCCAAATCAAGAATGCATTAATACATTTCAACAGAATTTACAAAAGGAACTGCTATTGTTGCTATTGTCTACTTAGACTCACTTAAAATTTCATGAAAACACCAATAATGCTTACTGTTGTCTCACCGACAGCTACGTTTACATCATTGAAAGAAAAAAAGAAAGAATATAAAGTCTTGAGAGCACAGTAGACTTGTACACTGGCCCCACGCCATCCAAAACACCAACTCTGTAGCAGCACAAGCCATCTTCTCTTCTGCAGTTAGTGAGGCTGTCTTGTCTTGACTGAATGTGCAGGGGTACCAGATGGTACAATGGAGCAGCATTGTCATAATAAGCAGATAACAGATTACACTGAAACCACAACACATTCATTCATGTCATGTGTACACTGGTATGATCATGGCCACTATTGTGATAAATTAAATGGTCTAAGATACTCACCTTTAAATAATTTGAGGTCTTCTACCAGCTCTTCGCCAAAGAGACCTTCGAGAATACTCTCAAAACCTGAGAAAAAGGACATAAAATCTAATAAATATGCAGTTTTTAGTAATGATCATTCAGTGACAAGCTCAACATATACCTTCTGAACTCAGATTTGTTCATATTTACTTCTCATTAGGGCTTGGAGCTGAAGCCAAAAGCAGCAACACAGAGATTCAAAATGAATCACTGTTTAAAGGCAACCTTTTTTGCCCGAGGGCCCAAATTAATTTGGTGTATTCAAGAAAAAAAAATTAGTTTGGGACTCGTCTACTGTACATCACTGAGATTTCCTGTAATGATGTCTTAGCCATATACCCAGATTTGTCTTTGCTTTTCCATTTCAACTTGACAACCGCTGTAAGCAACCCTTTGCTTCTGTTAAAACACACATTATAAGCTTTCACCCCAGGTTTTTACTTCAACAGTAAATACATGCACTCCATCCTCCTGTTGCCAAGCAACTAAAGCACCTACAGAGTTGGGAGTGACTGTATGTTGCAACATGAAAAAGAAAAAACAGCCAGTATCAAGATTGCAAGGTACTGGTGTCAAAGTATCCTATACAATGTTGGAGATCAGGAATTCAAACAGAACCTGATTCTCACAGTTCATTAAATAACAGTTTACAGTGGAGGAAAACTAGCTGCAATTGCCAAATATTCTACATCCCATACGCAGGTTGAGGAAATATTTTATGCATAACTAATGTGATGGTGGTATCCTACAGTCTCAGCTGTTTGAAAGATATGGTGCGTTATGCTGCATAAGACTTCACTTAACAGTGCATTAACACAATATGCAATGTGTGCTTACTGCCGCAGGGTCAGAATAACCAATCCAAAACAACTACATGCGTTAAATCAAGCACTAAAGAGGTCAAAGAGAACATCTGTCTACTGAACTGGATTTTAAATGAGAGTGCACTTTTCTAAATGTGTCAGCCACTGAAAGGCCAAAAGTAACGACTCACACCATCACATTAAAGCATATAAACATTAGATAGACGGTTCCTAAAAACCTGCATGAAGCCCATATCTACAGAAGCATTGAAAATTACATTTATTAGGCCTATACAAAAAATATGACAAGTGAAATTAGCCAAATTATTTGAATTGGTCATCTAACTACAAATCATAACAAATGCTACACTGCATCTTCACAGATGAGCAGAGAAAGTAGTGAGAAAATTATCAACCCTTACCATCCACTCTCTTCCAAAACTCACAGTGAATTCAATAAAAGCTGTCATCTGTTAAAATGCCTCACTCTGCTTCCCTACAAATTCCCACCCACTTTTCAGCAGCCAAACATAAAGAGAGGGAGGGGGGCGAAGTGGTGAAGCACAGCCTTGCCTATAGCTGCAGCGTGAGTCTGTTTCTGGGTTAGTGCACAGGACTTCAGCTGAAGCTATCCAATCCTATTTCTGAAATATTTCAGAGGCACGGGTAGAAAAGTAGGTCATCCACTTTCGTTTGACAGAGCAGCGCCATGACATCAAACTACTCTTCAGGAATTCAGTTTAGGGCATTTAAAAATGTGTCATACTGTAAACCATGACTTTGAGGCAATATTACACTTTCCTACTGGCAGAGGACAGTGTGTTATAGTGGCTGATGAAAAGAACCTTTACACGCAAGCCTCTTTAAAACCCAACCATTTTGGAACCAGCAACGTAACTTAAGAAGAGCAAGCTGTGTACATGTGCTAACGATAAAATATTGATAGCGTGTAGAATTGTAATGTAAGCTCTAAAAAATAAATGAGCATATAAAAAACTGAATAATGGCCAAAGTTAAAATGCCCAATAAATAATGTTTATTTTTTATTTTTTTAAAACACCAACAAGCTACTGCATTGTGTGCACTGCACTTTGTTACAATTAACATTGTGTAGAAATAATACCAATGTTCAGCTTTAAAGGTGTATTTCCTGTCTGAAGGAACATTCACCAATTAATGACACTGACAAGGGAATTAGGCCATCATTGAGCGGCGGCTGCTGTTACACATATCTGGTTTGCTATATGGTGATCAGATAGCCTCCAGATACAATAATAAGCACAGGTACATGATGGAGAAAAAAAAAAAAAAAAAGAGTATTGCATAACACCTACCCATTAATATTAAAACTTAACAAGGACTAATAAAAAGACATTGATGATAAAGATATATTGTTAATGAATGAAACGAAAAATATTTTATTTATCCCAGAAGGGAAATTCAATGGGGGTAGCAATATTCATCTATTGTAAAATCCACACCTTCCTGCTTTTTTACTGTATTTCCAGCTATAGAGTAAAGCTTGTCAGTCATGTCAGTCATGTACATGTATCTGAGGAGAATAACGATCAAGGAAAGCTAATAATGCTATTTAAAACCCTTGTTGGCTTGGTTTCCTCTTTACTTCAAGCACATACTGCAGCTTGCCTTGCGGCAATGTAGAGCTGAGTGAAGGCACAGATTAAGTCTAACAGAGGTATACTGACCTGAAAAATAAAACAAATTTTGTTCTGGAGATTTTCTTTAACTAAATACAATTATTCAAAATACATGTGGCCCTTTTGATCATGAAATAGGGAATTATTACAAAATAAAGGAAGATGGCTAAATTTATCTAGCATTGCTGAAGCGGACGATAAATTCAAAACATAACTTACAACCATATTGTTTAAGGGCAGTATGAAAAAAATATGTACCATCCAGCGTTGTTACCACAACACTAATATGACTAAGGACCATTATGAAGACATTTTTGAAGTGTATTTTGAATAATGAAAAAATACACTTCGGCCAGAATTTTACGAAGTAATTATTCTACAGATAACATACTATGTACGTAAAGTAGCAAAGAGGACTGCGATAATACAGATATGCCCCTGAGAAACCTTCTCAGGGGCATATCTGCCAGCGAATAGCTTTCAATCAAGGTCTTCCATATGGGACACCTGCTGACAGGAGAGAAATTCCTCTTGGGCAAGTGAGATTTACTGACATACTTGCACTTACATTTCAGCCTAAAATAAGGTTTACATTTGACTTTTGTGAAACCACAAGGAACTCTTTCATAACTTGGCAAATAACTTCAATTAAATATGAACCACAAACCTCAACCATGAAACTTTCTAGGTCTTTCATGGAGCTTATGTATGCTCATAGTGAGCAACAACCCTGTCCAATCTGCCTTAGCCTTCTTCTGACCTACATCTCTAGCCAATCAGAGACTGAAAGATTTGGAGTGTGTGACACCCTTGTCCTTCCCACCAGCACTTAGAAAGAGAAATCCCACAGATCTGGGATCAGCTTCCTAAATCCTAACCTTAACCTATGCTGTACATCACTGTGAATTAAACATAATGCGTGATAAAACCCTCTTTACTGCTTATTTCTAGCACTATGTTGATCGGTAGTGTAGCCAAAGGGTTAGTTTTCTTTTTTGAGCCTATGCACAAAATCAATAAGCAACCACTTTGTAATTTTGTCCGGTGCACTGCAAGAACATGACACCATACATGTTGGTTCCAATGTGTTTGATTAGGATAAAATTGAAACTGACACAATTATGTGATTCAGAAAATATTCATAAATACCAATTTTAAATTAATAAACATGACTTTTTCTGTGGCAGTGCTTTGAGCACCATGACTGTCGATACTATGTAAAATCACTGAGCTGTTAGATAATCCAATGCCAAGTGATAGCAGGAAGATATAAAGAATGACATTCCAGAAGTAGTTTCTTCTCACATTATATTTTCAGTGAAATCTTGCCTTCCATGACAACATCGATGTTGTTGTTCAACATTCACACAGAAGAATGTATCCAGATAATCTAATAATGCTATAGGGTTGTTGAGCGGTCTTGGGTTACGAATATGTCAACTGTTCAACTTCATCAAATACACGATACTACAGTACACAAGCCTCAACGCCATTTTTTTATTTGAAAGATACCAACCAAAGTGCCAAAATAGCAGTGCAAACATATTTAGAGTGCCATGCTCACGGCAAAACACTACACCACAGGTCAAAAATTTGGCCTAAACAACCACAAATTGTCCATGTTTTCCAGTTTATGACAAGTATATTACCTTTACTAAAACAAATAAAGCCTGTATCCCTTGTAGGCAGCAGGAAGACGATGAGTATAGAACACCTTATTATTATTATTATTATTATTATTATTACAAGGAAGAGGAACTTGGGTAAGAGTTCCAACTATGTCTGTTTACCCATTTCTGAATAACTCATTCCATGAGCTTACATATCACAATAAAACACGTTTGGAACCTAACAAAATGGTAACATACAACATGGGAAACCATTGCTCTTTCCAATGGATGACCCACCCTTTCCCTCTGCCGCTCTAGTGCTAACAGTGTTCAGTGCTGCATCAACCCCCACTAAACCCATCCCCCACTCAACTACTGTACATGGACTATCTCTGAAGGAGTGACCACAAGCTTAGAGAACAGTAGCTTTCCTGGGAACTGTAGTCAAAATAAAAGTCGTCAAAGCTGGCAATTATAGCCACAACTCTCAGGCAAGAGAAAAAGATCATCAATACATTTTTTTACTCTTTTAAGACTGCATTATGTTTTCAAATTATATGTTGAGATTGTGATGCTCATGAGAGCATAATTTTGTATGATGAGGGTCACTGATCTCCCTGAGCAATGCTCTTTGAAGATGTAAGATGGGCCTGAGGGCTAAAGGATGAGTGCAGAGATGGCAAAGTTGCACAAATTAGTTGAGCTGCCACATATGTCATACAACACAGAGTCCAAGCCTAATGTCAGGCTATCTACAAAAACATTACTGTTGACTAATATGCTATCCACAGACAGCACCTACAGTAGGTCACCAGATGAGCATAGACATTACATGGACATGAGCAAAGCATTGCTTGAAGTCTGATTGGCTACTCCAAATCTTGTTCATTACGAGCAATATAGAGTTGTTGGATCATGCCTATAGAGCAAGCAATGAGGTGGCAGCGTTGAGAAACATCTACAGTATAAGAAAAAACCTTCCATGAATACTTAATGTGATATGATGCAAACTGACAGTCAAATGGTGTAATGCTGCACAAAGCATAACTTTGAATAACAAATATGAGACCACCATGATTTTAGACAAATATGGAAAAAGAGAGTGCATGCACACACAAATGCTCAAGCGAACGCACAGACACACACATTCAAAGACAGTCATTAAAGCCATTGGTCTTGTCTTGTAAAATGCCAACAGAAATCAGCCAGCTCTTTTCGCAAATTAGGAAAATGTAGGCCAAAAGCCCAACAGAGGGGGTATGCTGGAGCAGAAATGGGCCATGCAAAAGTTGAAGTATAAACAAGACAATCTGCCTGATGTCAATATTTTCTTGTTATATGTTTGAGCAAATACTCACCCACATGTCAAACACAAATACAAATAACTTAAATTCCAGGCATTTTCGAATGTTAGCTGGTGCTGTTCCAGTCCAAATTTTCCAAAATCCAGACACAAGACATTTTCAGCCACACAGTTTGCATCTGGGGGCTAAAGAGCCATAAACACATGTATGGTCAAACATACAGACAATTGTTGCCGCTGTTCTATGGGACAATTGCGCTTGTCTCTGCCCTGCAGTTTTACTGCTCACATTAAATACACAAAGACAAAATGTCCATTTCAGTAGGGTGGTGGTGGCGTGCAGCCTTCTCCACCAAAAAGCCAAACAGAAGTATGTCCTTGTTGTCGTGGACAGAATATGCCATTCTACAGCCAGCAGACTGATGCTGTTGTCATGTACTCTGCAGCCTTACAATTATAGCCCAAACACAAGGACATTTGTCAATCATAAAGGGGGAACTGACTAACGGGACAATCCTGGGTCTACAGCTAGTGACCGGTCAGAAAGCTATTATTCTCTCTCCATTTTCTTTTCAATGACAAGCACCCATCCCACCTTGCATTGTAGCCTTTTTAGCTGGAAGAAGTTTGTTTAGTCAGGAAACTATGTTAAACAGCTGATGCCAAGTGCCAACAATCATCAGTGTAGTCAGTAGTTACAGTCCTACTAATGTGAGAAAGAATGTAAAGTCCATTAAAATATGGTGCCTAAAACATCATAAGTAACTCTTGACATAAATTTGGGTAAACTAGTCTGTAATTGATAGCCATATACGACTGACTAACCGCGTTAGCTGGCACATATGTGATGTTTTTTCTGCACTTGTTATTTAAAACAATAAAATCAGACTAACACACTCCAAATGCAGCAAGAGCTTTAAACTTTAACCATGTCACACCACAAATATCCTAAATGTCAGGAAAACTTCAGACTTTACTTTTTGTGCACACACATAGTGCGTGTCTTTCATATACATTGTACATCTCAATACAATCTATACACAGTAGCTACTTAATGTGAAACTGATGCAATGTGACATTTTGAGATCAGCAGCATGAGAAGTAGTGTTCTGGGTTTTAAAATAGTCTGTGCCCCACAATTTAAATGCTGTTTTAAAATCTGTTTAACATTCTGCCAAAAGTCACAAGGAAAAACACTGCATATATTCATGTCTAGGCATTAAAATTTAAATTATATTGCATAAAATATCAACCAGACCCTTGGACCAACAAATTTATGTGTGTGATTTTGGTCCTCGTGACAAGTTCCTTTCTATCCAGTCATTTGCAGACAGCGCTGTTATATGAAAACAATGACTTAATGGAGTGTGCTGTGCCTTTTTAAGGCAATACAGGAAACAATCCATGTAATAATACTTAAATAATACGATATGTCCCAATCTAACAGATAAAGGTGAAAAGAACCTCTAATTTGAATTATGACTAAACCAATACAAGCTAATTTTAGAATAAACATTGAGTTCACTAAGCAACTCTCTGCTCCTTCTTTGCGTGATCAGTCTGACTGTGATGGTGCAAAATGTCCATACTGGCTGTTGCTATGTTACTGAGTCACACGGAGAAGGCTGGGAAGACATGGATTTAAAAATGACCCCTCCCTCTTCTTCAAACCTCTCTGTCAAACTGCGTTAAACTACTAAAGCCATCTATTATTGTGTGCAGAACACGATAATTAGATGGTGAAAGAAAAACGTATCACAGGACCTTCATATCGCCTGTGGAGGTCTATATAAACAACCAACACATTTAATACTTATGCGTCTTAATCATCTGCTACTTGTGAAGAAGGTTAAATGATCAGTTTTTCATTTTGGGTGTATTTGCACAGCACTATTCACAGGCCTCATTATGCTTCTTAAGTAGTGCATTGTTAAAAGCCTATTCTCATGTTTGATTTTAGAAGAATAAAGGTGGCAACTGCGACAACATCATACAAACCAGGACCAAATGGCAAATTATGTCTCCTTGCCATCCATTAGGAGTAACACTACATTGTTTATACTAAATGGTATGTTCAGCTGAAGAATATTAATTCTAGATAGCACATTTACTTCAGCACAGACCTACGAGGAAAAACGTGAGACATACATAAACTGACTTAAATTCTCTTTAATTGAGTTGTTGTTGCAGTCATGCTAGTACTTTTGTGCTTTTAGCCAAATGATAGCATGTTAAGGAGGTATTGTGTTTACCACGTTAGCCACACACTGTAAGAAAAATACAGATTAGCATCAACTCCCACGCTCGTACACGTAGAGCAACAAGCTTTGAGTCAACAAATGTTGTTTTTTTTAGCCACATACGTCAGAGAAGTTTTAGTGGTGTATCGTCGAAAAAAAGGTAACTCGCCCAGCAGTGGGGTCTCTGCCACTTCCTCAATGCAGCAACGCGCGTCCACGGGTGGTAATTTGAGACAAGCAAGTGAGCTAAATGTTAAGTGAAAACATCACCTCTCAGCTATATGTCGCCCTCCCCCATCCAAAATACAGTATCACGCGGGAGCGCGCATTCAGCAAACGGGCTGCTTTCGGCCGACGCGTCGCCCAGTGACACTCCCTTTAAAACAAGCACGGTGCCCTTTAAACAAACTAACGTTACGCCAGCAGACACATTAAAGTCCCCAGTTGAGGCTCAAGAACGGTTAAAAAAAATAGCGAGGAGACCCAATAAGTGGTGCAACACGGCCACAAACTACAACATATAACTAACTGCTCGGGTTGGCTGTCGTGAGAAGGAAACAGTTGAGGACAAAAAAGTCGCTCGGAGATGCCCCGAGTGAGTGCGGTAATAGATGGGTATTTACGCCGATAAAGGTCACACAGAAGCGAATTTCAGCTCGCAAAATTGTACAGTGTGTAATTGGCATTATCCTTACCTACACAGTGAATGAGTTTGTGTCGCCACGAGTCAAGTTCCTGCCGAAAGCCGCGCCTGTCGATTGTGCATTGCTGCCTCCTGCACAGACTCGCCATTTTCTATCGCTCTGTGGCGGGCACCAGCACGGGAAGAGGAAGCGCTCTGCTATGTGAACGCGCGCCGCCGCGTAGAGGAGGAAATCACTTCAGAGGGAAATGCCTGCAGATCTCAACAACACAGTCACTAAACCAAACAGCCCGGTTACAAAAGCGTGTAAATACATATACAAATAAATGCTACCAAGGTTTAAAACATCCAAATCGTTTTTATATATTATTTAATTTCGTAATGTAGGTTTTAAGTTCATATGTTTTGCATGTTTATATCAAATGAAATGTGGCTGAGGTATTTTCAACTCCAAGCTTAAAGGTCAGTGACTGTGTAACATAGACAGAGCTTTACTTAAAGCTGGATAACTAACAGGGCAAAGCAAGCAATTGCCCTGGGGCCCTACACCCACAGGGGCCACAAAGCCCCGGGTTAACGGTGAGGCAAGTAGTATGTGGTAGGTTGATTAAGTGACTAAAATAAATTGAAATGGTTAGGCCTCGAGGCAGGACGTGTATTTTTTACCATAGTCTGTGTATAAAAGATGGACGTAGCCTAAGGGCATGCAAAGTAAAGCCAATGTGGAAATGCCTTAAACCTGCAATCATTCTAATGGCCAGCAGGATGTTGCAAAACAAATATGGTTGTATATAAATCTATGAGATAATAATCTTGCAAAGTCAGACCGTTCTGCAACACATAATAGTCTGGCTGCACCTCATTATCATTCTGCTATAAAAACACTTTGGTTTTTATGTATGACCAGAAAATAGTGATTGACAAAAAAAAAAAAAAACATGTAGGGCTGTTTTGCTGCATTATTCAAATGTTTCAAAAAATAAAAATAAATAAAAGAGAATTTTTCAGTGCTGAAGGTTTCTAGCCTGGAGGTGGTTGTTGTTGCTGTTTCCTGCAGTGAAGGGAAACTTGAAAATGATAACATGTAGATAAGAGAAGGGCTTGCAGAAAGCTGCATGAAATGCACAGCCAGTGTAAAGCTTATACCTGCAATCGACATCCGGCGAGTCTGATTAATATTTTCTTTTTGGGTTTATGGTCTCCATCAAGAGTTTAAAGATTTCTTGAATACAACATGAGATTCAATTTGTAAATTATGATCCCATTTAGAGGAAAGCAGATGATATAGCAGGCTACCTTGTGATATGCACGTTGTCTTCAGATTCACAGTCAGATCCTCTCTTCACTCACTACTTCCAGTTTCAAAAGAGCAAGACAGCGATGGCAAAATACCAGACTTGAGGATTAAAAAGCAGTCTTCAATCCAGTCACTATGGCCATCGTTTATGAATTTTAGCAGTGCTCTCAGTATGGCTCTCATTATGGAATTTTGTGCAGACGTCGAACTCAGAGAATGACACCAACCAACTCTCTAGTATTTCCTCGAGCACCACCAGCAGGTTGACGTCTTTAGCTTTAAGTGAAATAGCTGCACAATGATAGCTGTTGGTTTGCAAAATATAGTAATGATATTTTGTACAGGCCTTCATGGTTCCCAGAGAATGAATATTAATGACTTCGAGTCTTCTCTGATGTTTTCTCTCTGCACACCTTTCACTGATCCTATGAAATATGTTGCCATCTAAGGGCTGGATTTGTTAAAAGAAAAAAAAAGGTTGACTGTGATGATCTTCTGACTTTTCCTCTAGCACCAGCCTGTTATCACTTTGATTTTCTGACCCCTGATTCAGGAGCATCATCTGATCAGAATTTCATTTTGTCACATTGTTTAATTCACGTGTTCAGTACTTATTAGCTACATGGTACAGTATGAGGATAGTGTGAGGACAGGGTGCTTCCAAAGCTTGTTGACCAACTGGCAAGGACTTCTGGTGAAGTACTGGCATCTTAATTGGATTATAAAGAACACTAACAGTTGAGCAGCCTGTTCAGTCCTTTGCGAAACTAAATTTAGTGCCATCTTACCAAGCACCATGCAATATGGAAACATTTATGCATATACACGTGGCCTGCAGAAAGCACCCAAGCAACATCAGCGGCAATAAATATCAAGAAGCTTCAGAAAAATTCCCAACAGCCTTTTATAAATATGTCTGCCACTGTCTCTAAGCTGCAGCACTCTATTCCAGTGCTGTTGTAGTTGCTGCCTTCAAGCGCTGTCGGAATTTTGACGATCCTGAACTGAAGCTCGTGTGGACGTCAACACAAACGCGACAACCAAAGGAAAAATATTTTGTAGAGACGGAATAGCTTTTCGCTAAATATGCTACGTTGAGCCCTTGTGGGTTAAATGAGTTATAAAGTAATTCAAAAGATGTGGATTTTGTTATACAGAACGGCGCTGCTCGTAATTTCGCCGCTTACGATCAGCGCGTGAATGCGACGTAGCCGGTGTTTTCATTTTACGCCCCTCCGCTCCTGTACGGTGGTTTCCATGCTTCAAAGACGACAAACGTAGTGTGCAGGTAAATTATAGCGTTAATAGGTGTTGTCGCTTTTCCCTGGTAGATGCGTTTCTATAGGTGACGGTCGATTTACACGTGCTTGTGCATTTAAAAGACAAGCCTGTTCAGCAACATGTATGTGGAGGCTGCACTGATCGACACATATTGACAGCAGAAGTTAGATATTTGCAATATCATTAGAGTGTTTCAGTCGTAGGGTGTGATGAAATATTTATTCGACGGCGAGTGCACGGGTAAAATAACACCTGCCTGCCATTCTGTAGCACCATGTTGGACTATTGGGTTCTAAAGAAAGATATTCTATAAACGAGGAGCGATAAGCCTCTGTTTGGTCCTGCAGTCGTGCTACAGTCACGTTTCTTTTGGAGAAGGCGTTACGCCCAAGTGTGCTTTGCGTCACAGCCATCATACACTGTGCAATAAACACAGTTATTGAATCAGGTGTAACTTATCTTTATCCCTTCATAAAGAGCAGCTCAAAGTGATGTGCACCTATACCCAGCTATTTTCTCACCACAAATTTGAGTAATTTTTTCCACCCTATTTGAACAGCTGGGTATTTACTTGTGAGAGCTGCATGTCCTGAAAATCAAATAAAGCCATGTGTGGACAGTTTTTATATTTCTTTACTCATCTGACATATTAAAGTAATGCTAAATTATATTAAGCTTGTGTTTTGTGAGTAACACAAAGAGCACAGGATATATGCTTTCATCACCGGTGGCATGCACACTGAGATGCACTTTTAAATTACATGAGCAAAAGATAATCAGCTCTAATAGTATGTCCTAAACAGACAGTTGCTCCCCCTCTTTGTTTGATTTGTAATCCCAAAGTGACGTGGTTTTTCTTCTAATGATAAATTGCTGGTGTCAGAGGTCAATGAGTGTGTTTGTGTGTTGAAAACAGGGGTACCATGACTCTGACCAGAGGATCTTTCACCTATGCCAGTGGGGAAGAATACCATGGCGAGTGGAAAGAAGGCAAGGCAGTCCGGCTTCTCAGTTTTAAAGAATATTTGTGCAAGCATTATCATCTTAACAGAAATGAGGCAAACTGTCACCTGTGCCTTTGGAAGTGTACACCTAGTCCTTTTACAGTGTCTGTCATTATCAGCCAAAGTGAAAGGATGTGCTGGAAAATCTAGTCAGTGTTTGTTACATAAAGTCAGGATTTAACATGTGCAGGTATTGGATAATTGCAAAAACTGAACACACCCCGTATTTCCCCACAGTATTAATAATAATTGTAACCACAGTGAATGTTATTTTGGCAACTTTCCCTGGCACATGTCTGTACTTTTCTAAAGAAATCATTTTTCCCAAACATACCTATACATGCAGTCAGCTCTGCAGCCTACAGTAGATTTTTATTATCTAAATGTGGTGTCGTGCACACATGAAGGTCAACTCTGGCCACATTTAACAAAGCTATTACTGAGGGGAGTGACACACATCTTATGGCGTTAGCTAAGGTAACAACTGAGCCACCTGCATATGGGCTTGATACTCATTAAACCATCTGTGCAGGACAAGAGAGGACATTTACACTTTTAATTTGGAAACTCCAGGGTTCCCTTAACAAAGTATAGCTGTCAGTTCCAGATTATTTTACTATATGTAGAGTCATTTGTGTTTAGATGAATAATGATTTATCATGGACAAGGTTTTCGGTTAATACATTTTCATGCAGGTGTAAAAACAATCACATGACGGGGATAGTTTGTCAAAATTTCCACGTGTGGCAAAGATTATGAGGATGCTTGCACTGCTTTGACTCTCTCACACACACATACAGCGATGCTAGTGACATGCAAGCTCAAGCTATTTAGTCAAATCCCAATTAGCTAGCATCGGTAGCCCAAGACAAACAGAGCCAGATTTACCAGCTCTGGCTTTGTCAGATCTTCTGGATTAGACTTTGGACCTGTTTGGGAAATCTTAGAGAGTCTTCTGTCAGCTGCTGTTAGGAAACCGAATAAAATAAAAACCTATGACCATCCAGGAGGTTTTATTTTGTCTTGACATGGGGTTTGTGATCATTTTCAGCTGCTTTTAAGATCAACGAAAACACAGTTTTAGCTCGTGTACTACTTCACCAGATTCACCCATTTGTTTCAGTGTAGCAATTACAAGTAAAAGTCAGTTTTAGGTGTATGTCCTGAGACATGATTATAAGCTTCAGTAGTAGATCCCCAGCTACGATGAGGGAAATGCAAGTACATTCCTTGACTGTTTTCGCAGCCTGAATCCTAAAGTAGAAATCCTCGCTAAAAAATCTGCAGGATTAGACTGCTGTAATTCTCACTGCACAGGAGGCAGATGGGACTCCTAATTCAGTAGTAAACCTTTATCTGACGGGGGTGGGAGGGTATTTAAATCCAAGCACGTACTGACTCATGTGACATATGTAGTGGTTGTACAATAAAAGTGAATATAAAACCCTGAGCCGCATTGCAAGGTTAAATGTCATGCTCAGTCAGCCATCTCTTAAAGTATGTTATTCACTATTACCAAAGAGTAATGCAGAAGGGGCTAAGTGGTTAGAGGAGGCATGGTGACACACATGTAGCTGAAATGGGCATTGGCAAATGGTATTAAGGTTATGGAGTCAAGGTTTCTTGTACATCCATCATCTGGTCAAAATTGTAGCCATTACTCACTCTGATAGTGTGGGGTTTTCCAGGTCGGAGGCATGGTGTTGGCCAGCTCAAGTTTCAGGATGGAACCTGCTACACTGGCCAGTTTGAGAATGGACTCTTCCATGGCTCTGGCGTGCTGCTTTTTACGGATGGATCCAGGTGCGTGTGCAAGAGTGAGACAAAAAGAAAGAAAGCTTTGTGCTCAGTCAAAAAGTTGCAAATGAGACCCTAATCTATTTTCATCATGTCAGGTATGAAGGAGAATTTGCTCATGGAAAGTTTCAAGGCACAGGAGTCTTCAGTCGATTCGATGGTATGAAGTTTGAAGGGGAGTTCAAAGACGGACGTGTTGAGGGATATGGTAAGTGTGTTACACCCCTGAAATAGCCTCTCCATCAGAATATCAATATTGCTTGATCATCGTGTCCTGTGTCTGTGCCTCCAGGGCTATTGACTTTCCCAGATGGAACTCATGGTGTCCCACGAAACGAGGGTTTGTTTCAAAACCACAAGCTGCAGAAGAGAGAGAAGTGTCCAGGAGTGGTGCAGCGTGCTCAGGCTTCGGCCTCCAGCGCTCACAGCCTGGCACTTTGACTGCCATGGACCCAGGAGGAGACACAGTGAGAGTTCCAGCACCTTCCAGAAGAGTCTCAGGGACGTATACATGTATACTCCCTTCCAGCTCTTCTCTCGTTGTGTCTTCTGTCACCATCATTTTCTTTTTCAGCATCTTCCTCGCTCTGCAGTGGCTTGGAATGCACATGCAATTCGACCAAATAATGGCTTTGTGGACGACTGACTTGAAAATGCACAACACCATGAAGCACACCTTTAACTTCACAAGTCGTGCAAACAGCAAATGCTGCTGTTTTTTTTCTCGTTCTGATTCTTGTGCTCATAAACAGTGTCTTAGTGTTTTACTCTAGAACAGTTAGCCTTCATATGTCAAAAAACAGAAGATGGGAGACCTCTTCTTAAATGTCATTGCACATCTTGTTCAGGAAAGAGTTCAGAAGTCTACAGACTTTAGATTTTAGCCATTAATTAGATCAATCATCCTTAAAATTGCTGCAATCTCTACAACACAGTGAAACTGAAAGATATCGTGTAATTTTTTGACATTTGACAACACTATGGAGAAAGGCTTTTATAAATGGGTCCCCATTTTGTTTTCACCATGCACAGGCATGAGAATGTACACGAACATGAACAAGCATGTTAGCAATGTGATGCACATTCTTCCTGATGGAGAGTTTTTGGTGGTAACGAACACATAATCACAACAATATGGCCACAAAGCCACCGAAGAGGACCTAAAGTTAACCACACATGGATGTAAACAATGCACTATTTAAAATACTGCAAAAATTGGCTTTACACATTTTTCACGAAGAAAGAAATGCATTTAATACACTTGTCAAGCCTCAAAAATAGAAACAGTGTGTTGATGAAAAAACACTGAATGTAAACTACATAACTTTTATTCATTTACACTCCACAGGGCACCTTTCAAGGGTCATCTGAATTAACAGTGCTGCTGCAAACTTTGTCATTCAAGGAGTCAGTTTTGTCACTGGTGTTTCTTCTCTTAGAGGATCAGTATTCACATTTGCCTTAAAGACGTTTTTTGTACAAGGGAGTAGTTGAAGCGGGTCTGTTTGAAAATCCGATGACGCACAGCACCCTCTCCTTCCCTTCCCCTGTGCAGCACTCGCTCTAAGATGTCTGTCATCCTAACAAGCTTGAGGTCTGTTTGAAGATTGCCTTCTCTCTGAGAGACACGTTGCTAAGCTGGTGCTGAGTTTTAGCTCCCATCACTCACAAGTCCAGCAAATTTCCTCTTTCCAATAAACCTTCTACCCCCGGTGGAAATCACTGCAGAGGAGTTTTAACACAGCTGGATAAGATTCTCTCAAGTTTTCCCTTATCTAGACTGACCGATCTGGATGATTAAAAAATCACTAAATGCATTGGATAGATCTTATTTACGGCAGCTGATTGAAAATAGTTACAAACCAGATATATGTTTAAGAGTATGTAATTCTAATGTACGTGTTTTGTTCTTTGAGGTATTTAAATATTTATTGTTATTGATTGTGTTTGGTCTGACTCTTCAAATGAATTGATTGGTCAGGTAGAAAATTGTGTTACCAAGTATTTTGAGGTGTTAATAATTTATTAACCACAATCACAGCTCTTCTGTGATCACAGATTAATTGAGTGTACTTGAACAGTTAATAGGCCTTACAAAGCATTATTAGACGTGGTCTGACTAGGGTTGCCGACACAGAACTTCAACCAAAGACAATCAAATGATATTGCAGGTAGGGAAGCCTGAAACAGTCAACAGAAGCTACATGTGTTTTTTTTTTCTTGCACCTGAACAATAAAGACAAATCAATGAGGACAAATCCAGTAGTGGGTTAAGTACACACACACAGAAAAATGGAGCAAAGATTAAACAGGGAATTGATGAGATATTCTGTTGTAAATATTGCTCAAGTCTCTAGACTGGGTTATTGCGGTTACTGATTTTCATTGTTGTTGTATTCAATGAAGAGAGAGAAAAAATCAATACTCAATATTGGGCTTGCTTTGAATACTCTTTCTGGTAGAACAGTGTGCTTCAAAGTACAATCAGACAGACTGAAGATAACACTAGACACGCAAAAGCAGAGCAGCGCAGGAGTTGCTACTACTACCTACAAGCACACCTCAGTGTTTGCTGTCTGCGCAAAGAGTGTAAAAGGCTGTCTTTCATATCGTCTAATAGTATTTTCCTTTTCCACGATGTCAGAGGCAACACCTGCTCATGCCTTCTTTGCCTACACACTCCTGCCTGAGTGGAACTGAATACACTAGAATTACATGTCCATTTCCAACGGAAAACAAATGGTGCTTCAGAAGCGTGCCTGTCCAGACTTTCACTTGCCTGGAAAAAAAAAAAATCATTGCCATGGTTACCTTTTTGGAGTAACAATATAATGTTGCTTTGAGTGCTCTTAGAGAAAACTACTGCGCAGTATCCCCTCATTCTACTGGAATAGGTCTGACTATGTATCACAGAGATGGTAAACAGTTCATGTGTTTAATAAAGCCTTGCAGTGAAAAAAGAAACATGCCTTTCATTGCATTTGATTTGAAATGTAACAAAGCAGTTCAATTTTAGATCATTTTGCAGGCTTTTGTGGCGTTCCAACATAAAGACTGAATTAAGGGACATTTGCAGCTACGGGAGGAAATGTAACCGTTTCATGCATAAACAGGTTCCTCCAGATTTTGGCTCCAACACAGCATGAAGCAGAAACCTCCAGCTTCCCCATCCCCCTTCTCGTTCTACAGCACTCCAGCCCTCAGCAACATCACAGCACAGCAGCATGCTGCTTGTAGTTCACATGGAATTGGAAACGACAAACCTAAAACATGCATGAGTCCAACATATTTAAGTAAGATTTGAGCCTGTTCTTGTTTCTGATATATGAACTGTTTTACTTTGGAAATATGCTGTAATATCTCTGTTGTTAGGTTGATAAAAAATACAGCAACATTTTCATGTGTATAGCTTCATATCATGCGTGGTATGTGTTCCCATTCTCCCTAACAATTAGACAGCCTTGCTTGAACAGGAAATATTGTGTGTGTCTGATAATGTATCTGAGGAGTTGCCCTCAACGAGCACTTTGGCACATAACAGAAAAACTCAGCTGCTTGCACTTTAAAACAGCATTTTACATTCACCTTATTAAAAATACAGCAGCACCACAATATTTGTTGAACAAGTTGAATGGTTTTAATGATGATCAACTGTACTTTAAAAATTACAGTCTAAGCACAGCGGCAAGTTGTTGCTTTCCCCAGCATGAATGACAAACCTCCCTCAGGAACATTTGAGCCACTGATGATACAAGGAAAATATGTCCACTGAGCTCCCGTTGAATCCCTGCCTTTAGCAGGGACATACCAGTCATCTCTGCTATCGTCAGCTGACATCTCAAACACAGTGCTACTGTGTGCTCTGGCCCTGTCCGCTGCCTTGATAAAACAAGGAGTTCTTGATGAATATTCAAACACAGCTTCTGTACATTAGCATTATTCAACTTCCAAAGGCATCCCAAATCAGATATGAAACATCCATGAGAGTGCTCCTAAGATTATAAAGCTCTTTAAAAGCAAATATCAAAAGCCTAAGGCTGGCTTAAAGATTTGAGAAATTCAGCTTTGTTTCATCATTCATATGTTTTTTTTTCTTTTTCTGTCCTTTTTAAGATAAGCAGATCATTTTAAACCCATCACACCCAGGCTGACAGATTCTGGTATCAAAGTTCAAACTAATCTCGGAGGTTTTACAGTGATGCCCTGGGAAAGCAGATTTTGATGATGAGGCGCACATTCCATCATGACTATAAAACAAAGCATATACTTAAATAGGATGTACACAACATTACAGTGAAGTTACAGGATGCAATCTGAACCTGAGGCAGATAGTCATAGCAAGTGACATTATACAGAATAGGCAGTATGAGTCAAGGCTGAATCATCAACCAAGCAAAGTGGGCACCTGTCCTGAGGCTCCAGACCACCAGAGGCCTTTAGAAGTCCCACATTCACTGTGTGTCTGGTGTTTATATTAAATGCAAAGGAACTTTATCTACTCAGTTACAGTATCAACTAAGGCCTTGTAAGATTAGCTAATTTTGTGGCATTTAGAGGAAGCCTGTGTTGACTGCCCCTCTAACAGGCTAATTTGACAGTGCTATGAGTAGATGAACAGCTTTGCACACTATTCACTCCTCTGTTGAGCTGTTTTCAGGCGACACTACTCCCACCTCCCTCAGCTTCTCCAGCCTCTGCAGGGTCTCCATGATGTCCGACTGCCATTGTTTTACCTGCTGCGATGCCGTCACTCCCTCCTGTAATCACACTGTTGCTTTGTTAGTGTGGAGTCACAGTGTGTAGAAAGTGTTGAGAAATGAGCCTGAGCGTGTTAGCTTCCTGTGTGCAACCAATAACTATCCTTTGAAGGAGTAATATTAAAGTGTAGTATAATAACAATGTATATTGCCTGCTTTTAGCTGGGCATTTTCCCTTTATTTTACAGTATGGAGAAAGGAAAGAAACAAAGTGGGTGGTAGAGGTTCATAACATCCACCAAAGCTCCCTGCGTGGAGTCAGGTTGTAGACATTGCAATTATGTGGTATGTACCTTAGCTGTTTCTGTCCTGGCTGGCATCTCAGCATAAAGACTGGAAACATTTAAACAGCCAGTGCTGCTTAGTCCAAAGGTAACAAAACCCACCCCACACCTCAAAAGATCCACCTTATATCTTGCTTATTTAATATAAAAATGTACTAAAAACACCAATTTGACATTTTATGGGACTCTGCTCAACTGTTTCTTGGCTAGTACCAGTTACCATCACCGCCTTAATTAAGAGACTCCAGAAAGCTATTGTGCACAGCCAAGAAACAGTCTGGCACATATCCCTTCATAAAACACAAATTGCAGTTTCTTTAATATATTGGTTTCCATATGGATGGAAAAAACAACAACAACTGACTTCTGTTATTTCCCCTGATTCCAGCCTTTATGCTGAGAAAACCTAAATGGCTGTTTCCTGCAGGAGCAGTGGGTGTAGTTCCAAAATGTTGAACTATTCCATTAAATTTTCATTTTCAGGCTACGCAAGATATATATATACACAGCAAGTGGCAAAACTTACATGATTTTTTATTTTTGTGTCAGCTCCCGCAGCTATGAGCAGCTTCACTATCTTGTATCTGTTGAGACGCACTGCATCGTGCAGGGCCGTGTCACCTTCCTGAGAAGAGAAAACGTATTTTTATTGTTGGTCAAATTGGATTTTTACAAAATGTAGGAGTGAAACACATTGTTGATTTGCCTCCTACCCTGTCCCTGGAGTTCATTTTGGCACCACAGGACAGCAGGTACTCCACAATGGTGGTGTGTCCTGTTCTTGTGGCCACATGCAGAGGAGTGCTGTACAGCTGCATATAGACATGAATACACACTGTGACTGGGTTATTTGTATGCAAATCCATTCATTAAGAATCAACTGTTTATCTGTAAGAGATGAGTGTGATACACAAATATGAGTTCAGGCACAGATGCAAACACAAACAAAATACACATCCACCTTATCTCTAACATTAAGGTCAGCCCCATGACTCTTCAGGGCTTTTACGACTCCTAGACTTCCCCCTCTGCAGGCACAGTGTATGGCCCTGGAGCCCAGCTGAAACATAGAAGGAGAGCGCCGTCCTATCAGTGGTGCTGTTTTTGGGCCACAAGAGGCTGGATCGCTCATCATCATCCTTAGAATCTAGCATCTTACTTGATCTTTTAGGTTGATATCGGCTCCTTTTTCTAACAGCATTTGGACAACTGCAGTGTGTCCCTCCAGAGAGGCACGATGCAGCGCTGTCCTCTTCAACTGGAGGGTTTAAGTATATTATAGGCAGAAATGCAATAAAAATGTACTTATCTGTTTTGCACTGAAAGCTCTACCTCATCCTGGGCATTAGGGTTCCCGCCATCAGCCAGATACACGTCTATTACATTCACTTTGCCTTGACTGGCTGCATTCATGAATTCAGCAGCATCCACAGGCCGTGTCTGTCCACACACAAACACATAGAAACACAGAGGAACAACAGAGGCATAGATTTAATTTTAACATCTCTGTCAGGCACATGAGACGTGCTTTCTGAAAATTGCAGCTCACCACAGGGGTTTCTACCGACACTCTGGGTGGGTAGGTTGTCTTGATCTTCTTTGTTCTTTTGCATCCCTCTGGGATATTATCTCCTGCACTTAGATCTAAAATCTCACAGTGGAGGTCCGATGAGAGTCTCCTCACTCTCTCCTCTTCCTAGCAGATAACAAAAAGAGTAGTAACGTAGAAAACACTATTAGAAACCCTAGACGAGGGAGGTGGTATTAGCTTGCAAAGCGGTGGTGCCAAGTGGGCTAAGGGGTGTTGAGAGCTGGGAATGATGGTGTTAATGTCAAAATAAATTCACAGCATAGTGCAAGATAGGCTTGGCAATAACAATAGCAGCATTCCCAGTAAAGTGCAATTCAAATGCTGTTAATATGTTTTAACATAATTTATCAGTGACATTGAATTAATGTGTGTGCAGGTGACCCATCAATAGAAATGATTCAATTCCCTGATTTTATGAATCAGGACGTTTTCAAAATTGTGGAAACAGTAAACAGAATATAACACACATTCTGCTGTGCTGTGTGGAAAAAAAAGAAGCTCCCTTGTGGTGAGTGTTAAATGATTGTTATTCTAGGAGCCATACTTAATATATTGTAAAATAATTGGGAAATCATCAGAACATTCAGTTTAGAAACAACATGTCTCTCACCTACCTGTGCTTTCTTTTTATCTCCTGTTTTATGATCCATCCTACTGGATGCCCACTGCACAATCGTTTCCGTTTCTGGCATGCAGAATGCAAAAATACAAAAAGGCGATCGATAAAGTAATTTGGGACAGCTAAAGCTATTAGATAGTGACTAATAACCTGGAGCCAAATCAAAGAAAAGTGGCTGAAAACCCAGCTGACTGCGTGTCATTTTATACAGAAGTGCTGCGAGTCCAGAGGCTTCCTGGCAGGAATGCCGAGTTCACGGTGGGACATTGTGTTACCCCAACAAACAGGTGTACGCATGTATGTTTGTGTGTGCTTGCCAACTCTACATTCTCCATCTCTCTTTCCTTCTCCGTATTTTCCTCTCTGTCATGCACGCACACGCATTCATGCACAAATACATTCAACCCTTTAGGCATGTCATGCGCTGCGGGTTTATTCATACCACAAGCTCCTGGTTTTACTCACTCCTGTAGTTGCAACAGCTTGTACTTCTCTTTTACAGCAATACAGCCCTCATAAACACACTGTTTTGGGGGATTATGCTATTTATAAAAGTTCCATTACTGTCAAGTGATACCTTGTAAGTATCGGTTTTATAGCACAGCAACAATCAATCACTTTAATTTTTCCATTAAAGTAAACCACTGAAGAGGTAAATCAAACTATACCACACATGTGCAGGAGATGTACAAATATGTTTGAGAAGCCTTCAGTGAAAATCAAGTTTTTGGGTTTTTTTTTCTTTCTTTTTCATCTTGTTGTTTTTTGCGGTTTCATAAGTCACAAACCTAAAGCGACAATCTTGTCAACTTGCAGAATAGGGCCTTGTGTATCATAATTCTTCTTCAGAATCGGTTCAAACATGTTTGGCACCAGTGTTACGACTTGCCTTTGGGTTGGGGTTTACACTGGTGGAGTGGAGTTGTAGGTGAGCTGGTGTGCTCCAGCTGCAGCGAAGACGTGACAGAGGCAGGGATTTCATATATCTACACATTCTTAGATGCAAAGTCACATCTAAGCCTTTTTTTTTTTTTTACAGGGAAAAAGGGTTTTCACAGAAAAAAAAACACTAAGTGAGTATCATCCAATGTCTTTCCTTATAATGTGTCTCTTATGTTGAACATGTTTTCTGCACACGTTGCCGTTGTTTGTGATATTTTCAGGGATAATTGTTATCAGATGGACAGTTGCACACAAACACACGCACATCCAGTGTGTTTACAAGCGCTGCTGCCAGAGTGTCACGAAGCGACATGTTAATGGTTAACCAGTTTCAATGCAGGAAGTGACAGAGTTCAGCTGGGTAGGAAGCAGCAGCAGCCATTTTAGCTGCACAGCTCATGTATCTTGCTGCTTTCAACAATGAAGCACAGGCAAAGAGACTGTTGACTACCGGCTTATGACTCTACCAGACTGGCTGTGAGTAATGTTGTTTGTTCTACTCAAAGGGATGTTCCTCTGGATGCTTTTCTGCGTAGAAACTATTTCAAAAGAGAGGGCTTGTTGACATTTGGTAGTGAAATATGTGATATGCTACTCTAACTAAGCCCTTTAAATACGTTCATGTTGCTATTAAGAGAGTGTTTCGACTAAAGAAAGCTTAGCTCGTGACATTGTTGTCATGAAATGATTCATCCTACTTAGTACCATTAATTCAGCCAAGCGTATATGTCTCAGGTGGAAGTACAAGCGCCATGGTGACACTGAATCGCTTGAGTGTGGAGGACCCAGATGATGGCTCTCCACTGCTCCCTGAGGCTGCAGAATCTCCAACACCAACACCTGTCTTTCACAGGCCGCGAGTGGTCACAAAGACTCACTCTAAGGAGTTTTTCCTTAGCAGGTACTCTCTTGAAGTACTGTGGTTATCTTGAAGGCTTGTTATTATTGCAAACAGGTATTAATGCTTTTTTTCTTGTCTTTTGGACTGCTGTTCAGGAGGCAGAACCTTTCCATCAGTGCACTGCTGCTGATCGGATGCTACTCGGCTATTCTGATTCCTGCCTATTTCCCCTTTGACAACGTGGCAACCCTCAATGATGACTACCTTTATCCCAAAGATCTGGTACAGATATATCTTATCAAGCATTTTGGACCTTTCTACACTCCTATCAAACCTAACTTGAACGTGTGATCCTCTGTTCAGCTCCTACTAAATCGGTCAGCCTCCCTGCTGTCAGATCCTTGTCAGCCTCGCTGGTGTCTGGACCACCTCAAGCCCCTGTCCTGTTCTGAAGGCCTCCTGGACATCCCCGTGTTTGTGCAGCAGGACAGGCCTGCATCGTGGAATCTGTCTCCTCCGCTGGGTCTTCAGGGCAGTGAAGAGCATCTGGCACTGGCTCTTGCCTCTCTGCCTCAGCCTGGCCTGCCTCCAACTCTGAAGAGAGAAGGCAGCTGCAGGCGATGCGTGGTCGTGGGCAGTGGAGGGATTCTTCACGGGAGCTACCTTGGAGCCCATATAGATCAATATGACATCATTATCAGGTATGTGTCCCAGAGTCAGACGCGTGTGGAAGGATATTTTAGATAGACTGTGGTGGCTATTTTTAACCTGCGCTGATGGACAGCAGCCAAAATTGGAATGATGTTAAGGCAAAAGGCACGAAGAAAACACACTGCATCTCTTTCACCAGGCTGAATAATGCTCCAGTGGCCGGCTTTGAGCGAGATGCTGGTTCACGCACCACCATCCGCCTGATGTACCCAGAGGGAGCTCCTCATTCTGCAAATGAGTACAAAAAAACCGCCATGGTTGCTCTGGTGGTCTTTAAGAGCCTGGACCTGGACTGGCTCACTTCTGTCATCACCAAGCAGCCTCTGGTGAGCCTCTATCACAAGGACTATTGCACACAGAAATGATGCATTACATAAGCCACGAGTGTCACAGCAACTCATGTAGTAATACTGCTCCCACATCATCACACTCACTGCCTCCCATGCTCTACATCCCCTTGTGTTGTGTAATTTTTTTTTTTTTTTTAACAGAGCTTCTGGTCCAAAATGTGGTTCTGGAGAGAGGTGGTGGATGATATTCCTCTGACACCAGAGAGCTTCAAGATCCTTAATCCTGAGATTATTCACAAGATGGGACAAGTTTTACAGAAATATACTATGAAACAGGGAAATGTGAGTTGGAGCATGCAAATTCTGTAACTCCCTCATGACAAACCATGACTCACTCTCATATTCTGCTTATGTTTAGTTGTATGCTTTCGTACAATGCTGCATATAAATAGAAAAAAAAGGAATCAACAATGGGGAGCCTAACCTTTCCTGAATAATCTATGGATATGCCTGCCTGACACATGTATTGACTGAGCTATAACCCTAGTTAGTGAAAGACGAGCAAACAGGCTTATTTTATCACCCACCATCCATGCCATTATGTGGGATAATGCTGAATGAAGAAAGTATTGCAGAAGAGTTGGTGCTCATAAAGAAACAGATCAAAAGTCATTTTCTCTCCTCAACAAGATGGTGCCAACGCTAGGTGCCAGTGCAGTGGTGATGGCTTTGCAGCTGTGTGACCAGGTCAGCCTGGCAGGGTTCGGCTACGACATGCAGCACCCAGAGGCCAGACTTCACTACTACGAGGCCATACGCATGGACGCCATGAAAGCTCAAGTAAGTTTAGATTGACAGGGTAAGGAGGCTGACCTAGTTTTGACGGCTGATTTATTTATTGTGTTATCATTATCCAGGTGGTGCACGATGTCAGTGCTGAAAAACTGTTCTTGAGGGACCTGGTGTCTGCAGGAGCTGTGACTGACCTCACAGGAGCTCTGTGAGTCCAAGACGGATAATACACTGAGCTCTACATGCACTCCCCTTTCTTCCTGTGTGGCGTCCTCCATAAAGTGACCTGCTTGAAGAATCCTGATCTTTAAAATGCTCAGTGAACACATAAAAATCTAAATACTATAATGATTGGAGAGACTAACTTAACTATTTCTCATTCCAATTCAACTAACTTATTAATCCTTATTTTTAAAAAGCCCTCCATAGTATATTATTCAACTTACATTTTTAATTTGTTTCCAATATTGTGGCCTCTCTGGTCTCTGTAAGCCTACAATTCAGTGGCAAATCTCATGTCAGAAGTTTTAGATTTTAACAGAAACTTCTATCAAAATTCATGGAAATAATTTATCTTTGAAATTTTAAAAAAATTGACATGTGAAATGGAGTTTTTGATTTTGATGAAATACCTCGATTTTAAGCTTACATTAGGTGAAATTTACAGATGGAACCGCACTGCACATTTGATGTGTTACAGTTCCATCCGATTTTTGAAAATGTGATGATTCTTTGTATTTTTAAAGTTTCTGGCTATGGCAAATGATGTAATTTTGGTGAAAACCTGCTGAAAGTTTTTGGGGATTCAGAGGATTAAATCACCAGCTGTTACAAGTGTAGTAAACGTATAGGTGTAATAATTATGTAATTACAAATATGAATGCAATGTTTAATGGTTCAAACAGTCAATTCTGTTTACAAAACTCAATAAACAAGTGAATGTGAGACTACTGATTGTTTTTCAAAAAATAATCTACATTAAGAGAAACTAAAAAAAATACTACTGTATCTTTCATTGATACAACATCTGGCACTGGCAGCAGTACAGACGGAAATGAAGAGTAGCTGCTTTCTAAAACCTAACCAGCTACAAAATTTTAAAAAGTTACAAAACATACACAGTTTAACTATAAACATATACAGCATTACTAATAAATAGAAAAAAGGACATAATGAATATTTAAGAATATACAAAAATCAAGGAGTGATATTGTCAAAATACTTCATAAAAGACACATAATAAGCACACAATGACATTTGAAGTTGCTAATCACAAATATAAGTGCTTACAATAAATAATTCTAGGACACTTTGTCATAAGATAGATCATACATCCATCCATCCATCCACAATAAAGAAATCTGGAGACATAAGGCACAGAACACTGTATATCTGTCATCAAAGTGAGATAATGTGGGATTTTTTTTAGTTCTTGGCAGTACAACAAACCTGGCTACTCTGACTCTGAGTGTGTCTACAGCAGCGGGTTGCGTGAAGGCTCCCACAGTTTGGTGGCCAACTGTCTGCAGTGCTGGAGGATGATGTCGGTGGGGATGACCCCCAGGTGAATGGTCAGCAGCTCGTAGCACTTCACCGCCTCGCCCTGGTGATTCTTACTGTAGTACCGAAGCAGCTTCCTGCAACACACATCCCTATGTTTATTAAGGAGATGTACATTTTGAATGAATTATATCCATTTTGACTAATGCTGGGTCGTTTACTTGTAGTAGTCCCAGGCAAGCATCCCAATGGGGGCCGAGTCATCAGGTAGGACGGGTATGTCTCCTGCCTCCAACTTGTAGCCCTGGTTGATTAAAAATCACATTATACAATGCTTTTTTTTAAACCTTTCAGGGTGGTCATTTTTTGTTATTTTTTATAAATGAATACTAAAACATGACTTACTGTTTCATTTTCAAACCACAGGAAGTAGCAGAAGTAGAAATCTCCATCACGCAGAGTGACGGTGGAGTAGCCCTTCTGAAGGTAGCGCCGTGTTGTGTTGACCATGGCCCATACCTTCAGAGTGAATTAGACACATTCATTTAAGAAAATGTAGAAAAAAACTAAAAATAAAACATTGCAAAATATGCTGAGTCACTCTGTTATCACGACAGATATTATATAGAAACAATTTGCCCATCTTAGCACGAAGACTGCGAAAAGGGGAAGCAGCTAATCTGGCTGTGAAGATGTAACTAAAACCACTAAGCATCATAGCATTATTTGCACAAAAACCAGGGTTAAAAACAACACTGCTATGTGCAGAAACATGCCTTAGCCTCGAGCACTACCTTCCTGAAGTCTTTTCAGGTTGTCTCGGAATAGTTTTCAGTGTTTATACTGAGCTAACTAACCAGCTGCTGACTCAGACTACATATTCATATATACAGACATACATTAAAAAAAGGAAAATAAAGTGTATTTGCTAAAATGCCAAACAATTCTTTAAGAGAAAAAGGGAGAAATTAAAATATTTTTAAAAGATAGTGCAACCTAAGTCATCACATCAGTATTAAATATTACTTTAATTTAAATTTCTGTCTAACAATTCACCACCGTTACTGATTTTTGCACTGAAAGCAGCAACAGACCAAAATAAGACCTAGTTGGTTTGACCTTGCTTTTGATGTACTGAGCCACGGGTCCCTTGCCCAGCTCAGATGTGGTGCGCTCTGTGATGCTGAGCGACGGTGCAATCATTTGGCCGGTGGATCGGTCCACACAGATGAAGTGGACGAGGCCTGGGAAATCCTCCAGGTAAGTGAGATTCACTTGGTCAAGAACAATACACTCAGGATAACTGTGTGTTATGCTGCAAAAAAGTATATACGTGTTAAACCCCTAAACCCTGCATGCGCTTGCAGATGAATACAAATTAGGTTAGCTCAGAGATCAGACACAACATGACACCCCGAGATTATTTTGCTGATAGGATATGACACCATGGTGATATTCCTCTTGCTTTTCACTAAAAGAAAGTCCTTCCAGTCCAACAGTTTGTCTCTGGGAGATGCAAAAAATGTGGCAAAAACAGAAGAGAAGAGAAAGACAAAGACAGGGAGAGAAAGACGTTAAAGACATGAACAATAAAGGATGCTGTGGTGGAGTCAGTGTCTTGATACGTGTACTATAAACTGATTTATCTATTTATTTGATGCAAAGAGATGCTCAGCTGACTGATACATACTGCACCATGGTCTGGGCTCGTTCCTGTAGGGCGGGCGAGAGCCGTCGAGGGCTGTCGCTCGATCCAGAGTCAGTAAGAAAACACTGTCTGTATACGCCACACAACTGGGTTTTCATTTTCTTACACCATGGGATAAGACTGGAACAAAGAACAGATAGGTGTGATTGATGTCATCATTCAAAGGACCATCCAAAAGCTTTGCTGTGTTGCCACTTGGCCAGCAGAGGGCTGTAGAAGACTTACTCTCTGGTGAACCCAGATCCTGATTTGGTAAAGGCTTGGTTCTTGAAATCTGTCCAGACTTGTTGTAGATGTGCAGACTGGAAGAAGTAAATGTTGATTTTATTTGCGCACATCCAAGATGGTTGATTGACTTATTTCTATAACACTAAAGGATATTTTCAAGTTGAGGCTGTGGTAACAAAACAAATCTTTCAAATTTAGCATAGGTTCATAGTCATCAAAATTCCTGCGACAACAAAGTAGAACATAAAGAAAGCTGATAGAAAAAAATACTATTCTTAATTGTTGTACTTTGCAACAACAAAAAAATCACTTAAACAAAGATAGGAATGTATTGGTGAGCTGCAAACGCTTTATTTAAAAGAAGACAACTGTTGAACATAATAATAAAGCAACAGAGTTGGTTTAAAGCACATACCTGTATCTCACTCTGCCCCAAGGCCTTAATGAATCTATCCAGTTTGCCGCGGACGTCATGTATAGTGAGCTGGCCTCTGGCAGCAGCAGAACCTTGTCCTTCATTTAAACGCTTCTCCAGCTTTGCAAAGGCCTCCAAAAACTTGTACACTGACATGGCCACTGCACTGGTGGAAATCTAACAGAGACAAATATACCGTTTAACTGGTCCTGCAAGGGAGCAAAGATGTGTTCAGATACATAACTCCATACAAATGTGTCACAAATATGCCCCCTGCTGGCCACAAAACCACAACATGTCAAGACTGAAAGAGGTCTTTAAGGAAGAAGCTGTATATACATGTATGAGGACTACATACATTGCTGTGTTGGCGTCCACGAACCTTCGTTAGCAGCACTAGTGAGATGCCAGGCCACAATGGGAGACAGTACATGGAGTGAGGCATCATGGGATAGAGCCCATCTTTGAGGGAGACCTCTAAGAAGACTCTGCGAGGGGCTGAAGGGTCAGGCGGACTAACTTCCAGAGTTTGCAAGCTGTCCTCGGCCATCTGGAGAAATCATTCGTTTGTCCATGTGTGTCAAAGGTGATTGGACAGTCAGTTTATTTTAAATATAAAGAAAATTCTTACCTGGACGTCTGGATCCACAAACTCAAACACAGGAGTACTTCCTCTCACCGGCTTTTCTGGTGACACACAAACACACAGAAATATATTTCATAAAAACAAACATACAATACACTGTAATTATGAATAACATACTGTGTGTATGTGGATTGTCTTTCAATGCATTTTTTGTATGACTTCTATCTGGTCACAGATACAGGACTTCATACAGGAGAAGAGCTTGCAGAAGTGCTGCCTGCTCTTCCACTGATAAACTTCCTTATTAACACTGTTGTATAAACCCAGACCCTAGAACACATCTTTATTGTCTATCTTACTTTAAATTAAACCATAATTTTACAAAAAGAAAACCATGCTGTATTGACAAACACTGGAAACTACTGATTGAGATCAAACTTCATTAGGACAACGCTTACTGATGTAAAAACTCAAGTGAGAAGCAGGTTAATTTTCTTATGACTTCTGTACGAACTGACATCTTGTAGCAACTGGAGACGTCGCCCCCTGCTGGCTGTTAGAAAGAATGCAGGTTTAAGTCACATTTGCATTGGCTTCACCCCTTTTAGAACCAGAGTCCATCTTTTATTTACAGTCTATCATCCAGACTCGTTTTTGTGAGTGCGTATGTGTGCATATAAGTAGGGGCTTGGTGGAGCCATGAATTGATATGTGTAGATATATTCATACGCTATTCTTAGAAATAATTACATATACACATAGAATTAAATTTGACTACACAGATTCTACTCGACACCTGAATCGCTTGAGTCTCTGTCTGTCGGTGAGGGCTCCGGGGTGTAAAAACTTTCAGGACCAGAACCAGACGTACTCTCGACATCCTTCACAAACAAACACACGACAAGTTCAGAAACAAGATGACCAGAATTTTGTGGTGGTGCCTTTTGATCGGCTGTCAGCGCTTTGTACCTCGGGGCTCGGGTCATCCAGGTCTACGTTGCTAGGATACATATTCTGCGCCATGATGATGAGAGCCAGGAGGTCTGAGGTGGTGAGTGTACTCGCATTGCGGCTGGAATGAGCGCAGAGGTGAAGAGATGGCAAATACAGCCTCTTTATAGATTTCAGAGTTAGAAATGAGAGCATGTCAAAGCAAAAAAAAAAATCTGATGTGTTCATGGAATCATCTGTACTACCTGGAGTAGAAAGCGAGCAGTTTGGTGTGAACCAAGATGAAGGCATGCAGCACCTCCTCTCCTGCTCTCTCTACGCTGCTGTTGAGCTGCTGAACCAAACGGCGCTCCAGGAACTCGATGCACTGCTCGCACAGTGTGGGGTGGATCAGCCTCTCCACTGCCTGAGAGAGGGAGGAGATGAAATGTGAGCCTGGTGATGGGGATGTTTTCTTTTAAACAAATATCTGCTGATTAGGTGAGATTATACATGTATAGCGTAGTCAGCAAAAATGTAATAAAAAAGGTGTTTTGCATTTGATTTTCCCCATTTTAAAGCACAGAAGAGGAAAGAAAGAAACTCAAACAAGCATGAACATTACACTGGAACTGAAAGACATCAGGCATGGCGTGAATCATCTATCAAGCCTGAAAAATGCTATGACTGGACACAGGAATTCGAACTAATTCCATAAAGAGGAATGCAAGATAAATTCATCTAGTTACAGAGAAGTTTTCTAAATAGACTTTAAACAACCCAGAAAAAAAAAAAATCTTAACAATTAAACAAACACATAACCAGAGAGCTGCCAAAACAACATCCGTCTAACTGTGAGAAGATATTTGGTATTGTGCCATTTCTGCCATCTGCTGTTTAAAATTTTTATATCATGCACCAAAAATGCACCACAGTAGGTCCGGGCTCTGCTAACAAATAATGAAAACTGTAATAAACATTGACATGAGATTTTGTGCATTATAATACCGCTGGCAGCTCAATAAGGTCTGCGGTTTATTGCACGCAAGACCCCTGTGGGGACAAATATATTAGCTCCACTCTGAAAAAAACAATCTTCACGACACTGTAAAGTCATTTTTTGACCCCCATATATCAACAATGAAGCTGGTGAATGAAAAAAGATGAAGACTATATAGCAAAACTGATAATAAACTACTAAAAATAACAACAAAAAGAGGTCTTTTTGTTATTAAAGTCTGCTGTATAACATTCCAAAGTGTCGCACCTCCACTAAGAAGCTCTGGTCATTCTCTCGCAGGTGGCTGTAGGTCTCCAGCAGGCTCTGGAGATGCTTCCACAGTCTGGCCCGTTGCTCCGTGTCCTGAGGCCGCAGTCTGGTGACAAACAAATCATATACATCAACCAGATGCTGTATTAACAATTTCCTGTATCAACACACAAAAAAATGTCTTACTCTCTTTTAAGGAGGGCCCCACTGAGGGTGACCATGCCAAACAGGACCTCAATCATCTTCTTCATCACGTAGATCTTCCTCCTCAGATCGTCCTCCTTCTCCTCACCGTCTCCATTCACAGCAATGTAGAGGCACTCGTCGAACTGAGGAGACAAAATAACCCAATAAACTTGCCTCAAGCACACACATAAAATAGAGAACACATTGAAAATGAAGTGTCTCAAACTCCATCCTGCTCTTTGTGTTCTCTAAGAAATAGATTTGTGCACAAGAAAGACCTAAGAGAATGTTGAGTGGATCTGAAATTTATCAACTGTATCATGTGCTGCAGGATGACCAACCGTGGTTTGATTCAATAAATAGACTCACATGACAAACATGGTGCTTCACTGACTGCATTTAGGTCACTGTGTTATTACCGAAGCTCAAGTAAATTCCAATATTTTGAGACAACATGAGAAGAGATACGCATCACAGCCTTTTTATTTTGTAAGAAATATGTGTCATAAAATATATTTGGAAGATGGCTGATCTAGAGACTTGTGCAGGGGTAAAGACAGCTTTTATTTTGAAAGGCAGGTGCCACCTGGTGCAGGACGTAGACGTGGTTGCTCTCTGTGGTGAAGGAGGTGTAGCTGTCGCCCTGCCGATCCACCAAGGTGCTGGAGGAGATAATGATGGGAGCAAACTGAGTGCTGATCATGTCCTCAAAGGCCGGAAGCTGAGTATTAAAATGAAAAAAAGGAAAGAAGTTAAAATCTGAGTTATTTTTGCAGCTACAGGAAGCAATTTAAAAGGCAACAACTGCATATCTGCTGCACAGGATTTAGATCCTCCTCACCCCCTGGCCCTCCTCCTGCGACGCTCCATACTGCTCCTGGATGTTCTGTTGAAATTCGAGGTCGGTCCAGTGGAAGAGCACCTCGGCGCTCTCGCTGGCTATCAGCAAGCACTTCATCTGGACCACAGATGCGTTCCTGTCCTGCCGTACTGCGGTGCTCTATTTATTCAGATGACCTCACATGCATTAGGCTGTAAAGAAAAACGGGAAAAGTAGTGAGGTGAAAGACGTACATCAGAGTTTGGGGAGGAATTTTGTACCGCAGAGAGGTCTGGCTGGCACAACACAATGAAACAGAACTGGCTGTCAGCTATAAAATTAATTTTGATAACTGAATAATTGGATATTTTTTAAGAGAAAAAAAGTAAACATTTTTTGATTCCAATGTCATAAACATGATAATTTTCTGATTTCTTCACTCCTCTATGACAGCAAACCGAACATCTTTGGTTTGAGGACGAGACAAGAACATTTAATACATCATCTCGGGTTTTGGGAAACACTGACTGACATTTCTCATTCATTTCTGACATTTTAAATACAAAACAACTTATCCAATAACCAAGAAAATAACTGATAGATTAATCAACAGTGAAAATAACCAGTAGTTGCAGCCTTAAAAACAAGCCACTATTTAGAAAATTCCACAAATTATTTTACTTATTACTATTATTCCAGCATTTGCATTACAAGTTTGAGATACCTAAAATAATATATAGAATTATTGATGTGAAACCTCACTTCATTTCTGTGTGTGAATGAAACTGTCAGTTAATTTCACTCCACTCAGGAGGTCATGAAATAAGGATTTAAAGCTGAAACTGTGAAAAAAAAATACATTCACGACATCAATCATCACTAATTACACATTTTAAAAACTGATCTGAAATAAACCATGGATAATCTTAAAATTACTATTCACTATGCAGGCGGCAAAGGCCTGAACTTTAATCTGAATCTCAGCATATTTCACAGCCATGAGCTCTCTGCCTCTGAATCACGGGTGCATTACTTTCACACAGGCCTTGTTATCATTATATTAGCCTGCAGAGAAACTAAGAGCGAAAGGGAAACCTTTTCCCATGCTCCACTGCCTCTTGACCCAAAATAGTCAGCCCCTGGTATTTTATCAATGAAAGCCTGCAGTAGGATCAGAGATTGGAAAAAAAAGGCAAAAATGCCAACTGTGAGTGATTCCAGGACAACTTCAGCCAAAGCAGATGTACTCCACTGTTCTCCTATTCGCACCGGTTGATTTGCAGTTGCACCTAAATGCAACAGATACTGTGTATTTCACATTCTTCTGAATAAAAGACTTTGGATCATAATAAAGTCTGACAGGGGTTAGACTGACGCAGTGATCTAGTGGAGTCAACTGGAAAAACAGATGCTACTTCAATAACTGTTCTTGGGAGCATCAATCTGTGGACTCCATGTTGTTTTTGTTCAGATGACATATATCTTTTCGTTCAGCACCTACAATACATTGCATGGTGCCTCTGGCAGCAGGCTGGACTGCCTCAACATAAAAGTGGAAGTAATGAGGAGCTGTAATGAGATTTAGGAACAGTGATGTGTTACATTTCAGACGAATGTAAAGCGATTGCAGCAAAGTATTACTTCACAATGCATCAGCACTTCCTGTTGTCCGTGTAGAAATGCATACGATACGTTAACGTCAGTTTAATGTGTAATATTTCATTTTCAGCTCATTTTTTTTAGTTGCAATATTTCTTTTATCATGTGTTGCTATCTCATTATAACTGCCAGCATGATTTTTTACTCTTCTACTTTCGCCTACCTGGGTTTTCTGTTTGTTTGTTGTTCTCCAGTAATGTATATATTGCTTGTCTACTTTTTAGGCACTACGCTTGTTATGTCTTCTTGATGTTTCTGGACATATCTGACACAAGAACTTCCCACTAGTTTTGTCTTATCTCAATATGTTACTACTCTGTAATTGTCCCAGAGCTGCTCATCTGATATTTGCAGGATCTGCAAACATTCAGTCAGAAATGATTTAAACAGATGTTAAATGGGTTCATTTATATTTCTGAATGCCAGAATCTAGTTCTGTTAATACCAACAGCAACTAAATAGTTTGATCATCTAAACTGATTCCACTCCATGTTTTACCCAAAGCCAACTTATTTCCTATTACCAAACTTCCTCCATGCTCACTGATCACTAATGCACCAAACAAACACACACTTTAAAGTTCATGTCACAGCAGCTCACTCAGTTTTCTGCGCCGGATGATCCCAGCATCTCGGTCCAAGTGTCTCCTCTGCCCAAATCTTCAGCTTCTTTCAGTTTTCTTCCAGCAGTTTGTGGAGGTTTTTTCTTTTTTTTGATCGCAGTGTTGCTGTTTCTACTCGCTTCCTTCCTTCCGCGCTGCAGCCTGTGCGTCATGTGACCGCAGCATGAACGGAGTTCGCGCTGATCTGAAGCCAGATTGGGCCGTGAAGCGGCGGAGGAGCGGCCTGTAAGAGCTGCTCCTGGATAAGTGTTGGCAGTAAGTGGCTCTTCTGTTCGGTGGATTGCCCCCTCGAGGCGCCTGATGATCGGTGAGGCAGAAAAAAAAAAAAAAAAAAGTCATGTGCCGGTGCGTAAAGTGGGCCACATGACCGGGGGGCTGATAATAGTTTGGTATTTGTGGAATTCAGCTTCATGGTTGGGGTTGAGATTATCAGTGCTTGTGCCCTTTATTTCAGAATTTTCCATGAAGTGCAAATCTGTTTGAAAGCAATAAAGTAATCCTTCTTGACATTTTCAGGAAGGTCCACACAAATATGATTTTTTTTTCTTCTAAATACAGAGCTGCTAAACTGTTCATGATATAATATAGATGCCTGTGGGCTGGATACTTTTTTCTTATTTTTTACATAAACTTATTTAATAAAATAAAAATCCCCCTTACAAAAATTGTACGTTTGTGGCGAATAGCTGTGGTGAACCTTTTAGCAATGTTGCCACAAGTTTGCAGCGAGGTCATATTCTCATGTGCAAATTAGATTTGCGGTTAAGTGGACTGTTAGATTACTTTATGGAAAGCTTCATCCATTATTCCACTTTAATGCTACCCTGAGAGACGGGGTCACCAGCGGTTCATAGTGCAGGGCCAAGACACCGAGACAGACCAACGTTTACATCTATGACCGATCTAAAATCACCAGTTATCCTACCATTAACAGGACTGTGGGATGAAGTCACAGCACCCGAAGGAAACTCACACAGACACAGAGAGAACAGCAGCAGCAGGTTTCAACCAACAACCTTCTATTTGTGAGGTGACAGTGCAAACCGCTGCCGACCAAGAATTTCATTTTAGAACAGTTATAAACGACATAAAAAATGAATTTGTGGAAAACTTGCTGCAAACCTATCGTAAGTTCTTCACAAAGTTAGCCAAAAGTTCACCGCAAGTTCACTAGAAATCTAAATTGCATATCAAAATATAACCTTACTGCAAATTTGCCAAAGGTTAATTACAGTTGTCTGCCAGAAAAACTATGAAACACTAACACTGCCAGAAGTTTGCCACTAGTGGATAACATCCATCCATCCATTATCTATACAGCGCTTAATCCTCACGAGGGTCATGGGGGGGCTGGAGTCTATCCCAGCTGACTTAGGGTGAAGGCAGGGGACACCCTGGACAGGTCACCAGTCTATCACAGGGCTACACTTAGAGACAGACAACCAAGCACACTCACATTCACACCTACAGACAATTTAGAATCACCATTAACCTCAATATTTTTTTGGACTGTGTGGGAGGAAGCTGGAGAACCCGGAGAGAACCCACGCTGCACGGGGAGAACATGCAAACTCCACGCAGAAAGATCCCGGGTGTGTCCTCACCGGGATGCGATCTGGCGACCTTCTTGCTGCGAGTCAACGGTGCTAACCACCTTGCAGCCCACAGTGGAAAATATTTTTTGGAAAATGAATGTCTTTGCCTCAAAACACACAAGTTTTGCTTTTGTAAGAGGACTCAAGTTAGGAATTGATATAAAGCGGGGTATATTAATTCACTTTAAGCATTTAAATTCAAGTAAGTACAGCAAGACAAAATCCTGAAATTAATTTAAACCTAATGTTATAATTGTTTGTATATTCACATTTTCCATCAGGGAACAGCTTTTAGGAGATTTACAAACAGTGCAAAGTTTTACTGAGGCCTCTGTTTGGTCCCAAATTCATTCTGCAGCATGACAACTTCAAATCGTCAGTCATAAAGTCATAAAGAACTATCTATGTACCCCAAGAAGAACAAGGAGTCCTGCAACAGATGATGTGACCCAAACAAAGCCCTCATCTCAGCATCATGGAGTCAGTCTGGAAAACATAAAGATGCTTGTACAAGGTACCTTGAAGAACTAGCAATATTTTTTTAAAGGCAAAGACGAAATATTGTTTTGATGTGTCTTTTTTTTCTGTTTGCTGCACTCACGGCAATGTTTATGAAAGCATGTTCATGGCTGGGGCTTGTGCCGTTCCTGCAGCGGCGGTGAACCGTCTTTGGGGTTCGATCTGGTCTTTTCATCTTGCCATCTTGATGCAAGACTGGAGTCAACTGGTCAACGTTTTTGTATACACAGCATGATTTGATGATGGTTGTGTCACGCAGTGCACCTGTGTGGAAGATTTTGCCATTTGTTGCATTTCTCCTTTGATTTGTCACCCATCTGTGTATGTGTGTGTCCTTAACTCCACTTTGAATAGAGCTTCACACACACACACACACACACACACACACACACAATTGCAAGTTAAAACCACCTGTATATTCATTTTAGTGTTGCCTTAAATATACATGCATTTATTGCATACTCTTATGTTCCACCTTATGTACTTTTTCCATGTCCTGTCTGGCTACATCCTGTCCTAAGTTTTGAAAATAACATTTAAATAAAAAGTATGAAAGCATCCTCAGTGCTTGTGCGTAATAGGTTTGGAGAGCGCTGCACATCACATATAAACTACATATACACAAACACACAGTCACCAAACAGCAGGCCGTTTCTCAGAGAATGTTTTGATGGCTTCAACAAATCTGTGTTATAATATTCTGCACAGACTGTATGCTTGGCTTCTGAGCGGAGCAAAGAACCCCATAGTAACATAAATATTTATGTTTCATTAACGTTGCTTGGGTCAAAATGGCCCAAAATGCCGAGAGTTCTTCGTTGCGGGCCAAAGTCTAATCTAGTCCATCAGTTTTCTGGGGATCTAGCATTCATGGAAGTCTTATTTAAGCTGACTCCTGTATATACAGAGTAAACATCATGAAATCCTCAGTGTTTGCTAACAGGGCAAGGGGGCCTTGCATGTCTCAAAATGGATCACTGAGTATAAACAGTGTTAGGTGGGCCTGGGTAGCAGTTACCCTCCACTAAGAAGACACTGTCACGCAGAAGTGGCCAGACACGGTGCAGTCCTCCTAAATCACAACACAATTAGATTTTGTCAGAGGAAGTGATGCACATCGGTTGTTATCACAAGGTACAGGTTTATGTGAACCACAGTTCGGCAAACAAAACCATTTCCACGGACCGGCTTGATAAGATCCTGGTCTGAATGTCAGGAAGTTCACTAAGGCCTCGCAGTTCACATCGCCGAGGTCAATTATTGTTAAAGCATTACTTTCAGGCAGAGGCACTGGGTTTACTCAACAAACTCAACATACCTCTGATTAGAAATTATGTGTTGCCTTTAAACTTTGTGATCCCTATCGGTACATAGTTGATCTGAGAATATTCTAAACTCACACTGACAACTGATTCCAAGCAGTTTTCTGGAGTAAGTGCAGCCCAGTTCAAGCCACTTATCTTCCTCTACCTTAACACGCCTGCTCTTTCTCACTGTGGTTTCAAGTATTGTTAATTGTTATGCATCTAAATGTGCATATACGTATAACCAACTTTGTACAATGAATGATATTTTCTTCCTCAAAGGAGCCCAGATGTAATGGACCAGGTGTTAACAAGCCTGGTTTGATTCTTACATGTCAACAATGTTGGCCGGTTTAAAATGAACCACATGTGAAAAGAGGCTGTTCCTGAAGTTCATTTCTGAGACCAAACATTTCTGCTTCTTACATGAAAGCAAGAGCCGATTTCGCATGAATGGAACTTAAAACAAAAATATAATTAAAGGTACATGCTTTGGATCACGGCTCTTGAAGGGCCGCCAGTGTTAACCACTCACTGTCATGAAACATCAGTGCAGAAAATGCAGCTTTTGTGCGCCGAGCTCGTGCAGGAGAAACCGAAAGCACCTGAACGACGAGTGTTCGGGCCAAAGGACTCACGAGATCAAACCCTTCTACATGAGCCCTCCAAGAAATCTCAAGTTTTCAATGCAGTGCGGCTCGAGTTGAGTCTGTCCAAGCCCAAGCTGAGGTCTTAAAGTTTAGCCCATCTTGGCTTCATGTTTTCCATCAACAGTTGCCTCTTGCAGTCACAGGACAGCACTCTTCCCACTACAAAGACTTGTTCCAGCTGCTTCCACATCTGGGGCCAAACAGTGTGCATAAGAATGAGTGAGTGTGAGCGCATCAACGACGGTACATTTTAATACTTTGTTACCTTACTCCAGTTGCTGCAAGAATTTGGCAGCTTTTATTTATGGTTTCTGCGTATTTCTTTTTTTTTTGTGCTCCTGTGCAAGTATAAATCATGTCTTCTCATGTTTTCTATTACGGAGTCTGGTTTTTACAGCTCAATGTGAATTCACATGAAGGGACTTAGCTGTTTACACAGAAGTAGAATTGACCACCAAATCCTCTTTTGTATGTGGCACAATGAGTTTACAGTTTAGAGTTTAATGGAGTCTGGCCTGTGGACAAACTTATGTCTGAGTACATTCTTTTGCTCGAGTGCAGATTGTAGCAGGAGGAATTTTTACTGAAGCACATACAAGACAAATACAACTTCTTATGCATTTGTACATGTTTATTACCAACGTAAACTTTTTATTTTTTAACAAAAAATAATATAGGCGGACTTTACATATTAAAATAATGCTCTCCAAAAAGAAATATGGACATCTCTACATTAACTATAAACACATTCAGAAGACAAATATTCTTTATATTTAACATATTGAGACAATGAACCTGCTCTTGTTCTTCCGTCATGTAAGAGCTTCAAACTGTTTGTTCTTACTCATGTCAGCTCAGAGCGCTAAACACAACCGAATCTCTCCCGGCAAGGTTTTTACTCACCGTGTGGTTTTCGTCTAGTAAATAGCAAACCCTTCTTTAAAGAAGAGGGTTAAGATATGATGGAGTAAAACTAAAGTAAATGCAGATTGAAATCTTTTTTCTTGTGTGCCTTTTGCCCTTCAATTACCCCCACCACCATTTGCATCTTTGCACAGTCACTTGGTCGTTCCCTTTTTTTAATTTTAGTTAATACATTCTTAGAGTTATTTGGGATTTTGCCTTAGAGTTGGGGCATTAGTACCACTAACATAGCTTTTAAAGTAGAAATATAAAAACAAAGTACTTTATCATATAAATTAGGTGTATACTGTTTGTAAGTAAAAATATCAAGCTTAAATCACTTTTCCTTTTTTTATGTACAATACATTATCTAAAAATATATGACGGTAAATCTGTACAAAATAATGTAAAATATATCATGTATATTTAGTACAAAAGAAACCTAGCAGCATTAAAGGATTATAAGGTCACATGGAAGAGACAGTAAGATATGTTAAAATGCACACTGGAAACGTAGAATTGTTGAATCTATAGCAAACCCCAGCTTGTGTGTGTGGACGCAGTCGGTGTGACGGATGGGTTCACATTGTTCTTTAGCTTAGTATCACTGCAAAAAAAACAGCACTGGAGCCGCATCCTGGCCTATTATACTCTGCAGATAAAATGCAACACAAAAGCAGAGAGTTACACACACACACACACACACAAAAAAAACAGCCTTTAAAAGAAACTAATTGTCAATGTAAGCCACTCGATTTGGCGAGAAGACATTTAGTGGCGCATCCAGCAGACTTAACAGAAACATCAGTAGCTTTATCAGTAACACACATGCACACACAAACACGCATATGTGGTTAGTCCAAGCATGGACACACTGTGGCAGTTATCTGTTTGTGGAGAGGGTCAAGTCAAAGTGAAGCTGACTTGTGTATGACCCAGAAATGCAGTTGTTGTTTTTTTTTCTTTCCCTCATTCTTTGTCTGGTGGTCAGTAAAAAAAAACAGGGGGAAAAAAAAGAAATTGGTTTGACAATCCAAAAATAGAAAATATAGCTTCATTAAGTCAAAGACTGTAGATTTGTTTTCATACTGTCTTTCTGTAGCTACAAAAAAAGGCAGAAAACATTTGCGGTCCGTAGAAGTCTTGTAGTCTTACCTTGTAGTTTTTGATTTATTGCTGGTGAAAAGAAATAGAAAGTGTTCAGTGCAGCCCTTCATATGCGTCTTGGGCAAGTCTTTGTTGGAACGGAGAGGAGAACAAGAGGAGAACTGGGTTTGTTTGTTATTTGGCAGAGTGGTTTAAATATTACCACTGAAATAATGGACCAAGAGGCTGTTGTTTAACCAGAGAACCGTGCTGCATTCAAGTGTCCACTCTACTGAAAAGTCCTTGAGCAAGACACTGAAATGGCCACAAAGCGGTTCTCTGGTTTTTGAAGCTTTTAGTCAAACTGTCATGCCCACATCTTGGGTATGTGGGGTCAATGTTATCTCCGACAGGCGTACGCGTTGATGTTTTTGATGACATAAAAGCCTATGGTCATGGGCGGCATCGCTATTGTCCTTCCAGCCCTCAACGTCTTAGGCTTCAGCTCAGGGAACGTTTCATTGTCCACCATTAGCAGCTTCTCCCCGTTCAGCTGGATATGTCTGCAAAGAAAAGACAGACAAGAAATACCGATTGTGTTCGCTCAGTGAGACACGGTGCGCTTCAGTCTTATCACCAAACCCTCTGACTTTGTTCCTCACCTGCCTTCTGCACATACAAACAGTAGTTGTAGAGAAAAGAGAAAAAACTAGGTTGTTCACCTCAACAACAGAGAATCTGGATCACTTCATGCAGGATTATGATTCTGTCAGTTGAACACTTGGGGGTGCTGCTGTTACAATTTTGCAATTAAACAACTGCACACTAGTAACACCTGACTGAGTGGAATCTGCCTGGATTGAAACTCGAGACTTAAAGCAATGAAAATATTCGGCAACAACCTCCGCTGCTGCTCTGTGCAGTAAGAATAACAGAGATACAAAAATGATCGCTAACATATTTGAGAGGAGGTTTCCAAAAACAACTTCTTAAAATAATATGTTGATAGAATTTGATTTGTCATTTTCCTTAAAACAACTGTTTCCTGAGATACAGTTTGCTACAACTTAACTCATCTTCAACAATATCTCACCATGTAAAAATAAAGTTCACTAAGATGATGGGTTATTGTAAACATTTAAAAATGTTTTCCTTTCAGTTTTGCTTCGGCACTGAAGGATAGCTGAAACTAGATATACGGCCTAATTGAAAAATGCTGCTTTTCTAATCTTTTCCAAGACTCACATTCAGCCTTCACCAGCTGTAAATGCAAAAAAAAAAAAAGTATTCCGTCTCTACTCTCTTTGCACAGACAAACAGAATGCATAGCCACATGTCAGTTGTTTGTAGAGACTCATAAAAATTGCATTTATTGGCTTTTTTTTCTTTCTTTAAACGATTAACATGACCTCATTTTATAGCAGTAATCGTTTTTTAAGACTTGCTTTAGCACATCACACTTGTAAGTCAAGGTGCACTGTGCATACTTTTACGAATGGATAATAGGATGGATGGGTAATTATCAAAAACGGCATAATAATAAAATACATTTTTACCACATCAAGCAGGAGGTTTTGTAATATATTCCTGCTGTATCACTTGCTTGCGTGACTTTTACTGTTTTTTTGAATTCCCTTTTATTTTTTTCCCTCTTTATCCATACAAGCTATCGTTTAACTATCAGCAAATGTGCACTGTAACAATAAATCATGTTCTTTTAGTGCATTTGCACTGCAGTGTCACCTCTCACACTCAACTTTTCAACTTGCTGTAATCAACTTTTCCTACAGCATTGTAAAGTTCACAATACTACACGGTAATAAAGGGATCAAAAATTCCCACAAATTCAATAAAATATCAAATAAAATTATGCTTAATAAGGAGAAATAATGAATCAGACTAAACCGCTCAAAGCCTTCCCTCCACATACATGGGCCCGAATACTTTAAAAAGTCCCACTACTCACACAAATTTATAGACATCTGGTGTTGCTAAATAAAAGTCTCCCTGCACTGCCTGTGGTAAAGGAAAGCACTTAAGGCCAGAAAAAGGCCCATCGTTAGCTCACTCTCCTATTAATTGCCTCGCAATCCTGTTCTAACACCTAAAACATCCTCCATCATTACACTGTTATTGAAGGATCATGCCTGAGCCTCTATTAAGGCCGTATGTAGGTATCATGTAACACAAAGACTGACAGACACACACATGCACACACAGTCCCGGGTCATTAGGCTGTTATTCCAGGATTTGAGGCTTAAGTCTGAGTCAGAATAACAGGCCGAGGGGCTTAAAGGAGAGCGTACGAGACTGAAACCATAAACCTTTTATTTTAAAGGACATTTTGAGGAAATAGGAATTATATTACCTTGTTACATAGAAGCAATATATTACAGTTGGCAGAATTACATTGAGGACAGCATTGAGAGATGAAATGGACTTGATATAAAATGAAAAATGAAACATCTGTTGAAGGCTATGAAAAAAAAAGACATTCAAACAAGGGCTTTGTGAAGAGCTCCGCATAACATATAATACATAATAAATAAACAACTAGCCTTAACTGACAAAGGACAAAAGGGGTTAAGCATTTATCTTGTGCTTTATTAGCTTTTATTTATTGCATTATTTTTTACGAGTGCAGTGTAACTTTAATCAAAACAAGCAGGAGTAATTGCATGTTAGCGTATATTTGCGTTTTGTACTGCGGTAGTCACATAATATGCCAGCTCAGCATAAATTATACCTTGCGTTCTCAAAATGTTAAATTAAAGTGATTTTCTGCAGCTTTTTTTTTGAAGGACTTGTGTTTAGCACCTTATTAAATTCAGACCCAGAAAGCTCTTATTTGCCCTTTTCCTCATGTCTCTCAGACCTTCAGCACAAAGTAATCACTTTATGAAAACAGCTACAATCAAAGTTTTCATCTTCAGATGGGGTCTTTCCTTTAGTTTATTTTACATAAGCAATGATGGGATTGGTAGACGTGTGCAGTTGATATAACCTGGGTCTCTCAGCAGTACACTTGTCTTGTTTGATCAGCGTAAATTAATGGAACAGGATACTCTATGAGACGACCGCACTGTTGTTTTAAAAGAAGGATAATAACTCAAACCTGACGTGCAGGTATATATGTGCATATGTGTTCATGTGTATGCAACAGAGAGAAGTAGCGTGAAAGATACTGACTTGGCTTTGAGTCCATCAGTGCCGTAGGGTTGCAGCAGGTACTGATGGACGGTCTTGTTCCGTAACGTTCCCGCCAACTTGATTTTCTTTCTCGATCGATGCAGGTTGATGATGTAGATTGTTATGGAGCCTCTCACATAGTTATGGCTGGTGCCGGAAAAATGTAAAGAAAATAAACAATGCAACATTAATTTTTCTTTTTCATTCAGAAAGCGCTGTCAAGAAACAGCAAAAAAAAAAAAAAAGGACTCTTCTCCACATCTGTTAATGGGGATTCATCATGTATTACATTGCCATGCTGAATAAAATTCTCTATAATTAGAGATGACTACAAAGAGAAGCAAGTCTTTGATATTTCGGTCCCATATAGTAACAGGATAAAACCGCAACTCCTTGATCTAATCTGGATCAAAAGGTTTGAAGAAAATTAATAAAGCAAAATAAAGCAAGCTCACTAAGATAATTCCTTAGGACAGCAACTTACCTTTTATCATCCTTTTTTTTTTTTTTTTTAGCATAAATTATATTAAACCACATTCAACTTTATCATCCTGATGACGGCTACTCAATGCAAACCTCTCATACAGTATCCAATATTAAAACCTGTGCGGTTCAGGGTCAGATGAAGGGTGTGAACACAAAGGGGCAATACTTCTTGAGTTACACAGACAACAGTGTTTGAGTCCCTCTCCTTAGGGGAAAGCACTGGGGACACAACTTGATAGGAATACTGGCCAAAGGTAAATAACTAACTGAGACAGATAAGACAAACATGATAAAATCTAATAAGGGCCCAGATATGAGCACAAAGACAACACAGCTGTAGTGAATACCACATGTCAGGCCTGGTGTTTACGGCCAGAGCTAAACGGTCTGGTAGACATCTCTCTCGGTTACCACCTCCAGAATCTCATATCTTCAAAGCCATCTCGGTTCAGTGCTCTTTTGGGCACAGGATGAGACATTCATTTCATTACCCCGAAAGACTCCTAATATTCAATATATTACACCATGTTTCAGAGTGATAGATCAGATGGTTAGATGGAGGGAGAGATAAAGATCGCTTAAGTCTTTCAAATGATGAGGTTCTTAGAGATCCAAATCAGGAACATAAACATGTGTCTGTGCTGTTTGATGTTGGAGCATCTCGGGGGGAAAAAAAACACCATGCAAACCACTAAAAGGGGTAAAAGGGCAGTGAAAGTTAAATATCTAATCTGCAAAGACTTTTCAAAGCACTGACTGTCTGGACATATTTATACTCTTTGCTGTCTAACACAGTACAGTCAAACAAACAAGACTACAATGGTTTGTTCGCTAAAGAATTGACTATGTAAAACCACAAATTGGCAGAAATAATGTCAACTGAAGTGGCTTCGGATTTGAGAGAGACTGTTTTCGTGTCTCGGTGTCTGATAGTATGCGCTGATGGGTATCTGGAGTTAGACTGAACCCCACTACGTGAGCCGGGAGCAGCTCTTATTTAATTCCCCATATGTGCCGAGTGACCGAGCGACTACACTTGTTGAAAACTATCTCAAATATTTGCATGCATGTCGTTCGTTACGCAACTCCTGCCCGTTTATCGAGCATCTATCTGTGCAGCGCTCCTCTGTTTTTCTAAGAGATGCTCCACCTGTAAACGAGACCTGTCTAGAGTAAGGCCGTAAGTCTAGCCTGGTGCTGACAGCCGCTGACCTGGGTTAAATGATAACCTTGAACAGGCCATGGTGGCACTCTTTATCTGCTCCCGGCACAGACTGCCTTATTGTCCCTCCCCCTCCCCCTCAAATATCCCCCTCCAGCCAATCCGAGACGGGATAAAGGCCCGGCACACCTTTCAGCGGCTCTTTGACGGCGGGGAGACAGAACCCACACACCTGATAAGTGATACCCGTTAAGTTTTATAGGCTCTGAGCTGTGAATGAGCGGGTGTCTGCGCTCTGCTTATTTATGGGAAGCTAAATGGGCCGGCTGGGGATTTTGTTCTTCCCCACCCGGCGCTGAGCCTCAGGTGTTTGCAGGAAGACACTGGGAGCAGACGGCAAACAGCAGCAGTCTGTTTTCTGTCGAAACCTTCAAGGACATTCCCAAAGTATTCCTGCACTTTGCAGAAGGTTGTGCGTTTTGTCATCTGTCAGATTCAAACGGAAAGAAAAAAACAGAATTCATGCGAGGTAGCCGAGCTGTGGTGCATACTTGTAGTAGCTGGTGCAGTGAGCGTAGATACGTAGCTTGTCTCGTATGACTCGTCCCGGTTGCGGTTTCCTCTGCAGCCCAGCCACCCGCACAGCTAAAACCCTTGGACCAACAAGGCGCTTGAAGACCAGGGAGAACCAGTAATCCTGCAAAGGCAACAGAATCAAACCCAGAGACACATTCAGTATTACTTTTATGACAGCATGTGTTAATATTCTTATCCTCACCCTGAAGACAGGATTTAAGTCGCTGTTTAAAGACACAAAACAAAAGCCAGCAAAGACGTTTGAAAGACTGCAAAGCAAATCCAGCATAAGGTTTTGTTCTTTTCTTGAGGAGTTTTACAGCAATCTTGGATTCTGATTTCCCTGAAAGTGAATATTGCCAAATTCTCCATTTTGTTTATCCAGCCATGAACTGCCATCGAGATTGTAGGAACAGATTAGGTTTCGCAAACTGTGAGAATTAAAGAGAAAGCAGCTCGTCTGTGTGGAAAAAAAAGGAAGAGATATAGTCCACAAAAGTATCAAGTGTAAACATGTCAGCACATTCAGCGTTTAGTTGGAACTGATTGTCCCCATGTAATACGGCCATCGTCTTTAACAACCGCTGACCCGTTCAGAACTGACGAGTCTTAAATGTGACAATTTCCCCAAAATATTATGGTACGTCGTAAATGGCTGTTTTTCTGTTGCCGACGTTGAGTGGTCCACCATACTGAGTCGCACTCTATAGACTACACAGACTCAACACCTCTCCAAGAGACCCAGAACAACATGTGTTCCTCAGGAAGTTCCCATGCAATCCTGCATATGGCAACATTTAAGGGCTTCTTTTTTCCACGCAGGCTTTAACTTAATTTGCTGCCAAGGCATCGAAGAAGCAGAGCACAGTATAGAACAGTATCGTGTTGGCCATGACCAGAGGGATGGATGGATGAATGTATGGCCAGAACTATGATCCGTGATTATTACATAGTGTATAAAACAAAGAGCAGATATGAGTCTGGAGGATTATTTGTGAAAGATAGCCAGGGTGATTTTATACTCTCGCTTTGTGTTTACATTTCAAAACACATGTAACAAAAACCAACAATAAATTGATATTTTATAATCTGTGGCTGCGCTAGAATCCCGAACCGGAACGGGCACCGGCAGGACATGGCATTTTCTGAGAAATCACACAAAAATGCTGTCGACGGTCTTTTTTTTTTCCCCGACTTTGCCTTCCTCGACAGACCGAGAGACAACCCATCGACTGCAGGAACAACCGCACAACACACACCAGACACCGCTCAAACCTCAGCTGTGGAGAGTTTGCAGTAATAGCACGATAACAAGGCGAATGACAATTAACCTTTAGTGTTTAGCTTAATAGGACAAATGAGAGTCAGACTGGCTGAGTGAGACCCTGTTAATCTCGCCGAATTCAACGATCAAAGTATGAGGTTCCATTATTTTTCTGCACCCAGGGGGACGTTCATGATTTCAGTGTTTTTAATTTAGCAACAACCATAAAGAAGTTAACAATCTTCATGCTCTAATTGGGTTCCTCATAAAATAATGAAAAGAAAAATGCTGTTGAAAGTGAAGACAGAAAAACATGCAAGAAAAAAATATGGGGAGAAGGGGCCATTAGAGAGAGCCTAAATTACCTCATCTCCCTACTTTGTATATGGAAAATATGTATTTTCTGTCTTCTCTACAGGCAGACATCTTTGCTGACTGTCTAACAGACTAATTTATGTCCGTCAAAGACTGAATCTTTAGTTGCAGGAGCTCTGGAGGGAGATGGCCGGCGCATGTGGAGTAAAAACAACAAAAAAACAGGAAAGCCAGCATGATTTGGATAGTAGAAAAAGTAAAAAGAAAGGAAAAGGAGGGGGATGAGTGTGGACAAAGATGAAGCATCTGAGGGGCTCTGAGTGGATTTCACCAATGGTGGACTTATCCTATAGGGGAAGGGGGCCAGGTCATAAATTTCCCATGCAGAGGACAGGTTGGCCCTGCAGTGAATTCTCTCAGCAGGTAGGCCGGTGCAGCTCTCAGACATCCAACTATGTTAAAAGCATTGTGATCCTAGCGGGAGATCGGCATTCTCCGAAAAATAATGGAGGCGGAGAGGGAAGAAATATAAAGCCCTCCTGATTGTTTAATATCTTATAGTGTAAGTGAAGCATAAATAAGAGCGTTCCCGCCAGAGAGAACTAATGAGGGTTTTAGTGAAAAATGACTGTCAGGTTTTTTGCAGAAGTGAGCAGTCCATGAGCCCAACAACAATAGCAGTTAAAACTGTATTTTGGGGGATACCAATAATCACTCTAGCAGCCATGTCTGATCTATGTGGAATAATAAATGTTTGATACGTGTCTTGACTCCATTATGTTTTTCCTTTATTGTGGGAACAATGATTTACTGTCCAAGTCATTATTGTAAGTGTCTCACCCCTGCTCTGCCCCAGCTTATTCTAAATGCTTTTTCATGAACTTAAAACTCTTTTTTTTTTTTTTTTTTTATGAACTTGGCTCGCGTTAGCATTTTGTCACTCTTTCGCACTTATATTTGTTTTCGGCAAAATGAGATCATCGTTACTCTAGGAAAAGATTAAGAAGTGTGGCTTTTAAAATAATTAAATTAGCATCATTATTATTGTTAATAATAAAGAAACATCATGACCTCAGAGGCATACTATGTGTTGTTAAGATTATTTTCCCTTCACATGCTGATCAGGCACAAGCAAGTAACAGTGTATTTCAGATGGGTAGTGCAGTGTTTTGGACAGAGCTTTTTGTACTTCTGTCCCTGCATGTTTCTGACCCAACCACAGGGGAACTTGGCATTGGGCGGTTCCATTCCACACAGCGTTGCAGGCTGTTTTACTAACATGCCTGCGTATCAGAATCTCGGGTTGCAAAATCTCTCACCAGGCCGACCGTCCCGCACAGAGAAGCGCACAGTTACGATGGGGGTTGAGGGGAGCAGTGACACTGTCCTGAGCTACTGATAAAGGGCTAAAGTTACACGGCATTTCACCCCCTATGAGTCTAAGCACTCATCACCACTAAACGCCTTTCATCTCAGCTAATAGCTCCCACGGGAAAGAGGTGACATCCAGGTACCGGGTCTGGTATAGAAAAGTCCAGAGCGCAAAAAGGAGCGGTCAGGTCAGATCTTTGTTGTTGTGATTGGGGTTTTGGCAATGTTGACCTAAAGCTGTTCTAGTCGAACTGAAAAAGAGAGACTTACAGGTAATGGGTTAAAGTGCTGGTCCACAAGATGCGTATATCCGTAGTCAAAGAATGAGTGACGCAAGACAACATCAATCCCTTGCACAGCAGCCATCCCCAGCGTGTTCACCCACCTGGAATACACACGAACACATAAATATAAGGAGGGCTGTCAATGTCTTTGGTTGGGATGCATTAAAAAAACAAAAAAAACATACTGCACTAAGCACTTACAGAAAGCCAGCTGCGTATGTGTCAGAGAGGTTACTGATACCTCCTGCCCATGCTGGCCCCAGTCCACCGAGCCACACCTTCTTACCAGGAGTGTGAGTGTTCACAACCTGCAACGAGTGACGGAAATGAAGGTTTATCAAAAAATCCAGCTTTGTGTTGGCTTATTTTGGATTTCACGTCAAGATCTTTTCAATCATTTTCCTCTCTAATGTGCTCTGAGGACCATTACAATAGACTCAAACGTTTTATTTTTTAAGGTGTAAGCCAGGTAGGTTTTTTTTTTTGTGGTACTGAATGATTTACTGAAACCTACCATATTTTTGTGTCTCTTCAAGCTAATAGAAAATCATTAGATGTGGCAACAAAACAGTTCTACATAGAAAGATCATGTTGCACAGAGAACAATAATGTACACAAACCAGAAACACAAAAACCTAATGCACAGCAGAATCCCACTTCTCTTACATTTCATTGAATGTTTTAGGTTCTTTCTTCTTTTTCTTGAGGCACTGAGTAAGTTTGCCACGGCGGCCAGTGCTGATATGTTAGTCCGTGGCAGATGTAACTCTGTGGCCCTGAGGGCTCACTCTTGTGGTTTGAACATGTGGCTTCTCCATCAAAAGAACTGTCTGAGGGCTGAATGATCCATAACTTGGCAAACGCAAAAGAAATGCAAATATATTGTGTGATTAAAATGTGTTATTTCTTTGTATCCTCGCTGAAACTGGTCAGGAAGTCGAAACTGATAAAATAGTTTAATAGTGAATATGTCTGAAATGTGACCTCTCAAATAAACGCTGGATATGAACACAATTTTATACCTACAGTGAGAACACATGCAGTGTATGAAAAGTTGCTGTGGATATATACAGGTCTTAATACAGTATATATAACCTGAGATTATTTATAGTAGAGGATGAAGATTTTGACTTAAATCTAAGTACCTTGGTGACTTTGGTGATTTGTTCTGTCAGTGTGTCCAAAAGACGAGTTTTCAGGAAGTCCTCTGCTTTGCTCACTCTGCCATCCATGAAATAACTGCAAAAAAAAGAAAAGAAAAGAAAGAAAAACACTGTGAGAGAAACACTCTATGTATGTATTTACAATGTGAGCAGCAGACATAGGATTTCTTTTCAGCACAGATGGTAAAAGTAAGCTGAAATGTTTGTGCTGACATTCACTCAAGTTTCCATCGTCTCCTTAGAAATAACACAATTAGAATTTACACTTCATCAATACAAGATCAGAGTATAAACTTTTTAATATTAAGTGAAACCTTGTCACTGAAATGCACATTTAAATGCAAATTTAAGTTGAGATACATCGAGTGGCTTCACAATCTATTCATCAAATATAAATTTCTCCCCATTAGACTCTCTCTATGTTGTTAAAAATGTTACTCAGTTTTGTAGCGAAACCCAATACCATCAATCTTCACCACTTTGGTAAATGTTTAATATATTGTCCAATAATAACACATTATACAACGTAGGTCAGTGACATTTCAGCTGTGAAAAGAACAAGAAACAACTTCACGGATGCGACCCTGCCACCAGTCTGACTCACTGGATGTAGGATGCAGCTATAAGTCTGCCGTTGGCCTTCGCTACGAGAAACAACAACCTCTAAGCAGCACTCTGCCGTGCTGAAAATGTCATGCTTTGCTGATTAATTGGACCATACAGTAAGGTGACCCATTATTTCTGTTAAATATAGGCAGATTATCTATTTTAATCACAGGTCTCGTCTCCCTGAGTGCAAACGTACACCAAAACAATTCCCCCTATCGCTATTTTGAGGAAACACTGAAGCCACATCCTCTACTTAGCCCCACCCAGGATGACCGTGATTGGCTTAAAGAAATACAAACAAGCCAGAGCGTTTCTGTTTTGTTTCTTCCCCCTGTGGCAGAATGATAGAGAGGTGCAGCCAGACCATTATCTCGTACAGAATGGGCTGGCAAAGCAACACTACCCTGGAACAGACTCTCCACCACAATTGTTGTGGCTCATTATGGACTCCACTTTTAAAATACAAACCACTAAACATTCATAGGTCTCAGAAGGACACTACACAAGTTCACTACAAAAGCTACAATGAACAGGGAGTGACACATTCAATTACACATTAGCGCACCGATAATAGAAAACTGGTTCAAAATGTGGTCTTGCATAAGAGAGGAGTTGAAAAACCGACTGCACAGTGCAGATCTCCATCCTCGGTGATTTGTTGTGTGTGACAGAAACATAAGGAGAGACTAAAATACGAGATGACGTTAATAGCGCATAATGAGGAAGAAATTTATTGGTGTAGTAGTTCGAGCCAAAGCCCTGAGGAACATCACCCTGCGGGTAGACAGAAATCCTCTGCAGGAGTCTGAGAGAGAAACAGAGGACAACAACCGCACACTTTGGATCATGATTTGTAGTACAATAAAAAAAATAAATAAAAAAAAACCTGACATCTTATTTTCTCCTCAGAAAAACAGCACTAAAAGCTCAAGAGCATTTTCTTCATGAATCTAATATCCACATGAAATCATATCAAGAAATAAGTCGGTAAATCATGTAGTTTGAGCTTTTAAGTAAAAAGCTTTAACAGCGGGGAAGCAGCATTTCTTAGGACACACAACACTATCGCAACTGGCAGCAGTTAAAGACGCATTGAAGTGTTCCAGCGTCCTGTGTTGAATTACAAAACGTCAATAGTTATCTGAGAGAAAAATTGGGAATTTGAGGATTCTATTAGTCACTGGAACAGAATCAGATGGTGCTCCGCGGGGAGTTTGAAGCTTCATTAGCCAACTGATCTTCATATTACAGGTTGTAAAAGACTTTACAACTCAAGCATTTTCCATCAACTCGTTCCAAAGCTAGTGAAAGTCAAAAGTGTCCTTTTTTTTTAAAATCAACTCCCAGTGGTGCAACTTTCATGAACAGAACTATATTTATCCAGACTTGATCTGTTAATTTCACATTTATTGTTTAGTTTTACGTATGAATGCAAAATGCAAAGGATTTAATGAATATGTTGGAAAATTATATCTGTACATATAATACTCCAGTGATGTCATACACTCTGGCCAGCAATAGATTGTAATTGCGCACAAGCAACATAAAAAGTATCATGCAGATGTAAAATGATTCATACCATATCCGCTCTTTTCAGTCAAGTTACAAATATTGTGCCAATTTACATTCCTCCCCCAAAACTGGGGGAGACTCCAAGAAAGCCATGACAGGAAATGTACAATTGAGACAATCAAGTTACTCAGAGAATGACAGTCAGCACATTTCCTATTCAAAATTTCTAAAAGCTAAATAGGTGGGGACAATGCCAGGGTATTGTATTGTAACTACACAAGAAGACCATGTAATCATAACAACAACAGCATCTTATGTTTCAAAAACAAAAGTCAAACCTCTGCTCAACCTGTTTTGTAAAAGTCTGTTGTAATGACAGATAGGGTCAACAAAACTGCGGGGGGAAAAAAAAGAGCCGAATTAAGCCTGTGTGGGACGAAGCAGTGTTGCAATCTGAGCATAACCTCGTTGAAGCTCTGGAGAAGTCCCAAGCTCCTGGCCTCACACTGTAAACAATGCACGGATTAAGTCATAGCTTCACACAAATTATTTGGTTATCCTGCCATCTTTGCAGAGAGCTCACAATAATTCTTCCCAAGGAGAGAAATTCTAGTTCATATATGGAAACAAATTAAAAGTCAGCGCAGCTTCAAAAACCAGATCTTGCACCACAAATCAGTATGAATTTAAGCTACAGCCTATAAAAGCATCAGGTAAGAAAGGAACTACAGCCTTCATTGCTTAAAACCCAAGTTAAGTGTTTTTGTTGGAGCAGAAATCCCCAAAAGAAATTGTTATAAAAACAATTATTTGTGTATTTCAAGCAGGATTGAGAGGATCATAGCCTGGTATTCAAGTTTAAGCTCCTAAACTACAACCGAGATGTTTTCCTCTTTTTTTTTTCAAGCAGCATTTGGCATGATACTTTAATTGCTAGACTGACCAGAGTCCAATAAAATGCAAAAATGAACAACAGTGTGACTGAATGTTTCTAGACAAAGACCCACTCGGTCAGCTTGTTTTACACGGCTCCGTCTGAGTGCCAGTACCACATCAAAGACGGCCCTCTGACAAAGTTATCCGGCACAAAAGTCGGACACAAGCAGAAGCAGAGGAGTATCCTGAGTGGAGAACAGTAAAAACTGCACATGAAGCATCATGTAATGTTCATGTGACCTATCAGGAGATCTGGGGTGAGCAGAAAGGTAGGACGATAAGAATGTGATCCTTGATGTGGACCAGCAGGTTACATCAAATAAATCATTCATTACATAACAGCTGAAGCACACGCAGCTTCTCCGAGGAATATAATAAATTTATAGTCCCTCTGTGATTTTCTAAGAGTCAGCAGTCTTTAACGTCTCTTTTATCTCCCATCAGCTATAAATAAGCAGCACACAAGACTCTCTGTCAGGCACCACCACCTTCCAGGATCAAGACAGACTGATGAATATCTATATTTCTGGACAGGAAAGCAGAAAAAAATGCTCCTGATTCACTTTAAAGCAACTGTAATTAGTACAGCAGGCGCTCATTTTCAAAAGCAAATGTTGTTAAAGTCCACCTTTCATTATGATGGAGGTTAGCAGAGGGGGGGCTGCTTGTTTGCTTCATACTCAGATGTTCACACCACTAATACCCCACTGCTGGAACAATTAGGCACACATTATGTGCTTCGCCCAGGGGCATTTAAACAGCAACTCTTGTGGAAAAGGGGAAATTTGTCTCGCTCCCTTTTCTGGCTCATATTTTCACAGTTAGAACTGGCAGCTGTCTGGTCGCACATACTTCTGACCTGCTCAACTCTCTCACCATTAAGTAGCACATACAGGTAAAGTAGTTCATTATGAGGTGCAGTTAAAATTTGACTGAAGTAGGTGTTTGTCCCAAAAAAAACACTAATTAACCTCATGGTAGCGCTACTGGCAAAAAAAAAAAAAAAATCAAAAGGGACATGTGTCTTTTGAGAAAAGTTGCCAAGCCAATGATACAGTTTCCAATGGAACTAATTTCCAGATGATGAAGATATGATTAAAGACATGATTTGCACAAAAAAAAACAAAAAACGCTGGCTGCACATTAAATAGGATTTGGCAGAAATCACAAAACCTGAGCAAACCACTTGCAACGAGTGACAAAAATGTTTTTCATCAATTTATTTAACCTACTTACACATATCTGGTTTAGGGTTAAAGTGCTCGAAAAGCAAAACAAACCTACTCTGGAAAAGATGCTCACTTTGTAAAGTGAAAGGAAACTTTAGAAAGATGGAGACTTACGGAAACAAAGAGAAGAGGCAGGAAGATCAAAAGAGGATGACTAAACAGCGCGATCATGTTTTGCTGGTGAATCCAAAAAAATGTAAAAGCAGTAACTGAGACAAGATGCTGCAAAAGTGAAACTACCAAGTTGTGGAAACATGTCATCACATAAGAACCACATATCATATGCTTCGTGATCTGGCGATACGAAAATATTTGTTTCACCAGTGATCACCTGGATGGACCAACAAAAATCGCTCTCTAAAGCAACGAGTGCGTATTTCTTACCCTTTACGCGTGATTCAAAACAACTCGAGACAGCTGCAGCGGAGTAAAACTTATACCGTAGACGTGTTAATGAGTGTTCTCCACTTTTATTAGGTTGGCTTCTTTTGTAGAGGTCAGAGTTTCTGTCACGCAGCCTTGGTTAGACTGGAATCTGGACCTCTAGTGTAAAACGGGCTAATTGACAGAGGGAATGAGCCAGAGCATATGGTTTGATTTTAACAGTGTGGGTGGTGTTTTTCTAAGCCTTACTGACAGCCCTTCCACCTTCCGTTTTCTTCTAATTTCTCCTAATTAGACCTGACCTTCACCTTAATGACCTGCTCGCTTGGGGTTTGTCTGATCTCGAGATGGGTGTGACTTTTTTTTTTTTCTTTTCGTACATGTGGGTGTAAAGAGACACAGATAAAAAACATGGAGGAAAAGATCAAACCCACTGATATATTTGTATGCATTCCTGCAGTGTGTGCAATAGACAAATGGCAGGTGTTACTAATTTAACACACACACACTCTCTTGCGGGCTTCTTTTCCTGTTGTTCCATTTGCAGGATAAACACAGTTCTTCACATTATGCATCGGTCTCTCTCAGTAACAGTGTTAATGATGGCTGTTAGAGGCTGCTGCGTGTACTCACTGTGGCGGTGATGGTAAAACACACCGTGGATGGTGGTGCCGGTGGATTTATGGTTAGTAAAGTCAGTAGTCTACTCTTTAAGAGGACGGAGAAAATAATAAAAGAGAAAAAAAGGGTAAAATACCTACTGTTGCCACGTAACTGCATCTACAACAGAGCCAGCGTTCTTCATGAACCTGAAAGTGGGGAGAACACAAATATCTTTAATTGATTGGCTTTTACCCAAAAAATAAACCATAAAAACCTTCCATTAAGGTTATGATAACATGTTATCCAACAGCTGAACAATATCTGGGAATGTGGGAACATTACAAGAACCTGTAGGACAGGCAGGCAGAGTCTAATATAGGGTGCCAATACATCCATCCATCCATCCATTATCTATACACCGCTTAATCCTCACTAAGGTCACGGGGGGGCTGGAGTCTATCCCAGCTGACTTAGGGTGAAGGCAGGGGACACCCTGGACAGGTCACCAGTCTATCACAGGGCTACACTTAGAGACAGACAACCAAGCACACTCACATTCACACCTACGGACAATTTAGAATCACCAATTACCCTCAACATGTTTTTGGACTTGTGGGAGGAAGCCGGAGAACCCGGAGAGAAAATGCAAACTCCACGCAGAAAGGTCCCAGTGTCCTCACCGGGATGTGAACCGGCGACCTTCTTGCTAACCACCACCCCACCTTGCAGCTCCTCAATACATCCTCATTTACCAAATATAACTTGAAAGCAAAAATGAATTTTCAACAAAAATTTCATTTTAAAGGCAAACTTTTAAATAAGCTGAAAGGCAAATGTTGGAAAATATCCTATCCAACTGAAAATGAAAGACACACATGCATATGAAACCAAAGTACAGCCATGTGTCATATGTTGTTTATCGACAAATTAAAGATTTACAGTTGCACAGCTGAGAACTCCGTCCTCTGGCTATTGGATCTGGAAGATCTTAAACTTTTCTAGAAGATATCAAATGATGTGAGCTGAGTGTTTTCTCAGATACATAATTATGCAGACTTTTTTATGCACTCCGGATGTGGCTGGTATCAATTTGTGTCATCATAGCTGTGCATGTGACAAAATACTAATAAATACTTGCTTTTGAAACAGTTATATCTGCTACAAATTGAACAAAAGTTAATTTTTTGCTTTGCATTTTAGGTAATATGGGAAAATTACAAACATGAGAGAGAAAAAAAAGGACCCCTACTAGTTTTGTGAAACAGTAAACAGCGCTGGAGCTGTTTGTGTTTGCTTCAGTTTGTTAAATAGAACCTCCAAACATCCCATGAGGAAAGAAAAAAAAAAAGAAATGCTGTGAACCCAGTTTACCTTTTAACAGACTCATCCTGTACACAAACACAAACACAGCACATACGCAGTTCCTCCTGCAGTCTCCCTTCCTCCTTCTGAGCTTTCGCATCTGTGTGTGTGTGTGTGTGTGTGTGTGTGTGTGTGTGTGTGTGTGTGTGTGTTTGCCAGTTCTACCTGACCCAAATCGCTCCTTATTTGGCTCTAACAGCTTGTCAGACATGCCTAAGTGTGTGTCTCTAAACATCGTGTCACAGAAACACAACTTTCACCGCTCGGGCTTGTTTAGTCTGTGCAGCTCTGATATTTGGACTGTTGAGCAGCTCAGCATCTAATCCATCTTATTTCCTGAGAGCAGCAGAGTGGTCGGGCTGTCAAACACAAGAGCCAACCCCTCGTAACAGTGTCAAACACGGAGGAATTGCCCCGTCGTTAAATGTGACACTCGTGACCCACCGATACTCCAGCTCTCCACTCTTCATCCTTCCTCTCATCTCTCCTACATCCTCCCCGTCCTCTGAGAACACCGCTCATCAATCAGCCCCGGTACACATACAGTAAACTCCCTGGTGCACGCAAACACACACACCTTTTATTTACGAGAAAATCTAAACTGTCAGCGCTCGGTGAGATTAAAAAGCAGTTCCTAATGGTTTCACTGAAGTAAGCACACGGAGGAGGGAGGCTGGTATCAAATGATTCTTCCCCTGTTGTTGTCGTCCAACTACTTGTCAAAAATGTGCGTGGCTGCAGAGAGGAGCTGGAGATAGATTCCATCTGAGATACGCTGAGACATTAAGCTGTTCCTTGTTCATGGAGCTACACATGAGAATGTCAGCAGAATGTAATTTTAGCACACATTAAGTTGACTTTATGGGCCGTATTTTGGTTACAAGGAAAGCTTCTCCCTGTTTATTCAATGAGATAAATGCAGAAGTGCACATCCCTCCTCCTCCTCCTCCATCGCTCCTAATAGTCACATTATCTGTGTAAAAAAAAATCGTCTCTTAAATCTCCTGAGACTAGAATGGAGCATCGATGGCAGCTCACTTTCAGCTACACAGAATAGTAAAGTAGATGTTTTTTTGTTGTTGTTGTTTTTATGTTCACTACACAGGACGACCTTTAACCTGTTGGTCAAAAACCCGATATGTATTTATTACCAGTAGCTAAGAGCAAAATCTACTAGACATCGGTGTTGACACAACATACACAACGCTTTTATGTTTACCACAAACTAAACATCTGAATCAAGTTTATAATCTTTAATTTAACCTGATAAACATTCAATAAACTGTACATTACAATTTAGTTTTAAACAAATATATGGCCATTTTGCAAGTTGTCAAAAATTTCCAATATTTGTCCACAATTCTCCTCTTAGAACATAATTGACATTACAACAACAGCAAATACTTTTCATTCTCCATTCACAGGCACCTACAATTCTTGACAGCTACATTCATAAATGTGTTTTGAATCATTTATTAAAGACGTGAATGCTGCTTAGAATTGCAGAAGACTGTTTCTGTAAGTTGAAGTTTTGATCATCTTCACAGAATTAAGGCATTTTAATTTCCAGGAAAAACTCAAACGCCCCTCCATAAGGTTGCACTTTACTTGGCTCGTCCCACGCTGACAGAGTTGTGTATATGCATCTGATGTTTGATTTCCACCCTGTGTTTGTTGTACGGGGCCACTGATGCATCCATTTCAGTCAGAGTTTGTTTCCATTTCAACAGATAGAAAAGCTCACAAAGGCTTAACTTTTGGAAGCTGTCATCTATTCGGTCGATAGAACTGAGGATGCATTTTTTGCACAGAATGAGCTTGAAAAATCGGAGACATGCAGCAACATAGAAAAGCAGCCTGCACATCCACAGTTACAGTTAACCTGAGGGTTGTGGTTAACACGGTCTGCTAAAGGATATTCTGGAGATTGGAAATTTCACTCTTGATTGCTTATGAATATTGGACTGTCCAAATTAAACATTTGGGACATTTATTAATAATAAATTATATTCCAGAATTTTCTCATCTGTGCTCTGAAAGTCAGTTTCATAAGGTGACATCTGATTAAGAAGAGCTTAAGTTGTTGGCAGTCAACTATATGCACACTCAGAGGAAAGCCGGTTGGGGAGAAGGTAGAGGGAAGGTTGTTCATCTTGTGTTTTTAAGTCTTGATGGTTCTCAGGATTATAACAGTGACTTTGGTAGTTTGAGCTTATTCATAACAAATCTTGTACTTTCTGTATGAATCCAATTCAATACATTCCAGACAGTGACCTGTCTAAAACATCTACACAGACACAGACTTGATAATCCTAAATTGGGAAAGCTGTTACACAATAAGCCACTTTCTCTCAACGTTACATTACTGTGGTGCTACAAAGATCCCTTTTTGTTATGTTTATGTGCTTATGATTCAAGATGACGACTAAACCAAAGGCTACCATGTTTATATTAGGATTTTATGTTACCTGTGTTTGTGCATTCTTAGTAAAGAAGTAGCTTCTGAATGCAATTTGAGATGGCAGAGGACTCAAATGTTTTGAAACCAGAAAGACCCTTCACAATACTGTGTAATAATAATGACCTGAAACATAGGAACATAGGACGTTATTGTGTTTACCTCTGGAAAATAGTAAACAGTAGTTTAATTCCTTAAAAATAACAAGCAGAAACAAAATATCGATATGAATGCATTCCTCGCATTTTTTGCTGCAAAGACTACAGATTGTGACATTACAGTCGGAGCAGAGGACACGCTGGAGCTCAGATAGACTTGTTAGATAAGCTACCAGAGCGAAGCTGACGCTGGTGCAGCTTCTGGGTGAAACCAGCAGGTGGGACGTCATGCCGTCACGTTATCAATCAGATGACACTTTATTTAGGCTGACGTGCTATAACTGAAGCCGAGACCTTGAAACCTGCAGAGTGGAAATCCATAAACACCGAACACCACTACGATGTGTGTGTGTGTGTGTGTGTGTGTGTGTGCGTTAAACACGGTAAAGCTCAGGAAAAGTCTCAAACTGCTGCCGCATACTTTCCACCACCTTCCTCCCCCCCACTTTTTTTTCCAAGCAGGATAGCCTAACAAGGAGTGGAATCCTGGCCAATCGCAGTGTTACTTGGTGACTCACCCGTCCAGCAGCAGGATGGCGTTCTTCCGGGGTCGTCCTGCGTTGGGGCCGAAGAGGTGAGCTCGGTGGTAGTAGCGCACAGACTGCAGCAGAGTCCGCAGTTTGGTGTAGTCCTGAGCCAACTGGGTGCTGTTGACCGCGCGACCCACCATGCTGCGGTAGGCATTAGGCTCTGGGAAGAGGAGATGCAGCACAATGAGGCAGAGCGACGGAGGGGCGGAGGCAGAGAATACTGTTGTTGTTGCACTCTGATCTGGCGCTCTTAGACAGCATCCGACAGCCAGTAGAAAAAGGGATAATTGGGCAATTCGCAGTAGTACAGACAGATGGACTTGGTGTCAGGGGAATGGTCCAAGCACGCAGGGTGGCCTTGCAGTTTCATTAAAACAAAGAAAGCGGAGGAGCTAGTTTCCCCCAAAAGGAAGGAAAACCAAACTTTCGCTGCTCTGTTTCAGGTTGTGCAGGTTTGAGCTGCAAAATAAAACGTTCTGGTATGCTTAACACGTGTACATGTATCTGTGCTCTCTCTCCCTGAGAGCTGTGAGAACAGCATCAGCAAAATTTCAAAGAATCACCTTTCAACCCCTGGCTCTTCACTTTGTGTCTGCGCTGCCTGGAGGACTTACTTCAAATGATGACTTTCGCTACGGTGTAAGTCCTCAATAAAACGTTCATATGATCCAATCAATGAAATTTTCATGGTAACTTCAGGCTTAGGCTAAGATAAAAGTTTTTATTGTGAGTTTTGCTGCTTATGAAATTAAATGAAAACATGAAGTGATGGGCAGCGAGCGGAATACATTCCTTTTATTCCTGAATGAGCCCCTGTATTAACTCCTAAACTGCTGGAGTCACACTAACAGTTCAACATGAACAGGACAGTTAGAAGTAGTTAAACAACATACTTTCTGATTTTAGTGTAGAAAATGCAAGAAGTGACAAGTATAAATTGTTGAAGTATTTATTCAGTACTTCTCAGTATAAAGATGACCAGTAAGGCAAAGACAAACTGTGATGGCAGCCATGTTTGTCTTGGACACCTTCAGAAATATTTGGGGTGGCACACACACAAAAACCAAAAGCAATAACTGAATTTGAGGAATTCTCCTATGCTTTAGTAGTATAGAGCCTATGTGAAAACTATGTCAATATTACAGTTAAGTAATCTGATACTGATATATCGTGGTACAGGTACAGTTCATATTTAGATTTCTTGGGTGACCACCATTCACAGGAAAAGAGACGATTTGAGGTAAAGGTCGACCAACTGCCGATGTTCACTTAGTTTGGTTAACTTCAACAGTTTAACAGTGGTTTCTTATACGGTTGCTATCAAAGGTATTTAGAGTTGTTTTTCTCAGATATATGTTTATAGCACAACTTTAGATGTTTAGAATCTTTTTTATGATCTATGCTACACCATCAGAAGCCATCTGACCCACATTCATTCTGAAACATCACTATGACCCCAAACACACAGCCTGAGATATAAAGAGCTATTTCCAGCAAGAAAGAGAACAGGGAGTCCTCCAGCTGATGGAATGGTCTCCACACAGCTCAGATTTCAACATCATGGAGTCAGTCTGGGACAACATGAAGACACTGACAGACTAAAACCACAGAACTGTGATAAGTTCACTAATATGTTTAAAACAACTACAACTATGAAGTTGGCCCTCTGACTTACAAAACCTGTGCAAAGATTTAAAAGGTATGTTATCTTCAAAAAAAAATTACACAGTTTGTCAGAACCAGAAACTGCTGAAACAGATTCACAGGATTTTCAACTTTGCACCAGTTCTACTCCTCTGTGACATTCCTGTTCTGTGAGAAAACTTCACCAAAATTAGGCTTAAAATCGTAAAAATCAACAGGTTGGGAGACAAAATGAAAATCTAAGTCGTAAGATAAATGGTATTCCCCATTGTTTTCCAGTATTGGTAACACATGTGGGCACTTTGAAAAAAAAAAAACTTAAATCAACATGTGCAACATTTGTCCATTCTTGTGAAAAGAATACTCAAAGAAATCCAACTTTGCCTTTTTCTTTTTTTGTGATTTATGGCATTATAACTTGATAATAGCACAAAATTGTACTCCGTGTAGTCAAACAGTGACCACAGACTGCATCTGTTAAATGAAATCTAGTGGACTGTCACTTGCAGGATTGTTAAATAAGAAAATCCCATTAAGTAAAGTGGAAGCACTTCAAATCTGTCCATCAGTGTCAGCAACACTCACTCTAAACATAGTAGCTGAGGAAAAGCACACTCAAGAACTAACATTTTACTACAGATTTAAACCTGTCAGCTTATTTATTAGGCAGTATGTTTCTGTACTGACCGTTGCCCAGCTCCCAGGAGATGTTGTACTTCTTGCCGGCGCCGTACTTCAGGAGGCTCAGGGTGGAGGACGTGTTCCACGAGTTGTCTGGGTTTCTGTGCAGCGCGTTGAGCCCCAGAATCAGGTGCAGACCAGCACAGTCGGCAAAGTTGTACAGTTTGTCTAAAGACCTGGCTGGGAAAAACCCACAAAGCAGTTGTAACTTTGATTCTTTTTATGCATCTGGGACCATATGAACATGATGGAAAACATATGGAACTTATGGATCTACTGATTCTCATGCCCCCTCATTCTATGTGCTTGGGTACTGCTCTAAAGCCATAGCTGTGGTTCTTCCTGCACCACAGCTATGTATATTGCAACCAGCTCTGTTTCCTCGCCATCTAATTAAAGAGGACATAGGAAGCTGCAACAATTACTTTCACCGAGTACAATGTAAAGTTTAAATCATGCATACATTAAGAGTGTACTGCAATGCTGTGGACATTATCTAGTATTGTTTTACATTTCTAAACTCTATTTCATCAACACATACTTTAACCCTCTGACCTGCTAAACCTGCATTCAGGTTTGAAAGGCATGTTGTTGTTGTTCTGTTGTTTTTAAAAAGAAGCCCACAATAGTCCATCTATCAGAGCTTGAAGCTGTAATTACTGAAACAATTGTCAGATTTTCAACTTTAAGTTTGAAGTTTAAAAAAAATTACTAGGGCTGTACAATATATCGGCGACCACATCGGTATCGATTGATATTAGTGTTTTGTCCAATATATCGGTATCGGTCTGATGAACAAATGTAGCTGATGTGAAAAACCGATGATTGTCTAACATTAGTGCCTTTGTCTCTACATTTGATATTGCTGCTATTTCACACATGTTTTTACTTAAATGGTCCTGGACTTGAATGTTAAATATGTTAAAATATGTTTTACTTTTGTTATGTAATAAAGAAGACTATGTGGTCCCATTTGGTATGGGCTTCTTTTGAGTAGTTTTCTCACAGTGCTTTCCTATACTCGATGTGAACAAAAATTTAATATCTCCATTGGTAATATTGGTGGGCTGCAAGGTGGCTCGGTGGTTAGCACCGTTGACTCGCAGCTAGAAGGTCCCCAGTTTGCGTCCCGGTGAGGACACCTGGGATCTTTATGCGTGGAGTTTGCATGTTCTCCCAGTGCAGCGTGGGTTCTCTCTGGGTTCTCCGGCTTCCTCCCACAGTCCAGAAACATGCTGAGGTTAATTGGTGATTTTAAATTGTCCGTAGGTGTGAATGTGAGTGTGCTTGGTTGTCTGTCTCTAAGTGTAGCCCTGCAATAGACTGGCGACCTGCCCAGGGTGTCCCCTGCCTTCACCCTAAGTCAGCTGGGATAGGCTCCAGCCTCCCAGCGACCCTAGTGAGGATTAAGTGGTGTATAGATGATGGATGGCTGGTAATATCGGTTACGGCAATATCATAAATCTTAATGTCGGTATCGGCCAGAAATGTTAATATTGTGCATCACTAAAAATTACCCAAATCCAACAATAAAACTAAGATATTTTGGTGATATCACTTCTACCTGTCTCAATTAAAAAAGTGCCAAAAATATACGATAATCAAAAAAACCCAAACAATTCTGTGCTCCTTGGTAAAACCATGGAACTGATAGTGACTCAGCTGCAACCAACAGTCACGTCACAAACATTCAGGGGTTTCTGGCTGAACTGCAGGCAGTGTTTACACAGAGCAAAGAAAAGAAACGTATGAAGCAAAACAAAAGCAATACATTTTTACAGTGTGCAGAGTAACCAGTTTTACAGTGTTAACACCTGTAGGCACTTTGGTGTTTTTTTTTATTTACTGAAGGCCTTTTAAGTTCTTCCAACTTCTTGCCATGGTGTCAGTGTAAAATGAGCACACAGAGAGGAAAATGTGACAGTAATAAAAAAAAAACATAAATAAATAAAAACTGGTTGGTGTTCAGAGTGTTAAACCCCCATATGGAAACAAACAAACAAAATACCAAATAGAGGTTTGTTTTGTATCTATACATATCATGTGACAGCAACTGCAATGAGCAACTGTCAGTTGAACTTGATAGTTTAATTGTTTGATGTTTAAAACACCAGGCAGCATTTTGTACAGCTGGAGGTGATGTATTCTTACAGCTGTTAGTTTGTCAAATATCCAAAACCCAAAGATACACAGCACAAGAAGCGCCACACCTGAGAAGTTGCAAGCAAGAAACTGTTCTTACGTTTTTGCTTGAAAAATGACCACAAAATGAATTGATTACCCAAACAGTTGCCACTCAATCTGTGCATGTTCTCATCATAGCAGCTCTTTATCTGTGCTATAGCGATGGATACAGTCCTGAGCAATACACTTAGGATATATTCTGCAAACAGCTGCCATTCACGAGGTGCTGAACTTTGTCCTTGTGCACGTGTGCCCATTTGTACACGACAGCCGACGTTCAGCTTCAGCAACATTCAGTGAGACTCCAGACGGACTGATTTTCCCATCATGGACTCCTGCGGCGGTGCAAAGCATCAAGCGCACGATTGTTCTGCAGCTGACTGTTGACCCACATTTATGTCTGCTGTCTCCATCAGAACACATTATTCTGGCTTTGCAGTAAAGGATCAGGGCGTACCACAGATGTTGGCATATGGGGAGAGTGCCACAAGTATTTGTTTATGTTTTAATGTGCGACTGCAGGCTGCTCCTGAATGCCTAAGGCTCTTGTTTTGAAACTTAATCTGTTTGGAGTCATTCCATTAATGTAAATATTACCCTGAACTCCGACCCTCACTTCCTAGGTTCAACAGGAACCAGATGAACACTGCGCTCGTCTGGTTCCTGCTAGAATTTGCCCTCAACTCTGGACCTGGCACCAGCTGAGTTTGCCAAATGATAGCTTGATTGAATGCGAAGCAAAGACGGACTCGGGTGCATGCGAGGTTATTCTTCTGGATACTTGTCAGCTCAGCTTTAAATTAGATGCAACTGTCTGACCTGAATTCAAGAACACATCTAAACAGTGAAACAATGCTTTTTAAGTTACTCCTGAGCTCAAACATATTTTTTCAGTCAGCGTTTACTGTAAACCTTTATTTCCAATAGTGCAGCGGTTTCTGTAATCCAAAGAGCAAATTATTGCAATAATCTGCTTTCTAGCAGGACAAGAGCTGAACACAAGCAAAACAAATAGCCATATTGTGCGGAGCGTTCTTCATGAGTGCATTTGAGTAAACTCTCTGTTCTCCATCTCATTAATAACCACCAATAATGCTATTATCATAACTGCTATTATCATAACTCCTTCCCTCTGCGGTTAAATCATAGCAGTGTCTGTTTGCGAGCGCAGAGTGGAGGGCAAATGAACAGAGAAAGTAACGCCAGATGTGGACTGCCAGGATGAGTGATTCCAGGCCTTTCCTCACCTAAGATCTGAGCAGAAAGCTACCAGCCTTGTTGCAAGACACGGCTAACTAGCCTGCACACATAATAAAGGCATCATTAGATGCATCCAGCTAGTAAGAAAAAAAACAAAACTGTTTCTCCGCTGTAAGGCCCAAGAGCAACACGTACAGTCAAATAAAGGCCTATGTGTTTATGTCAGTGAGGCGTCAGGGGAATTTTACAACTGACTCTAAAAAACCAGCTTCATATCAACTTCAGTTGTGAAAGGAAAAGTCAACGGTAGAAAAATAAACGTTCCGCAATTTAGTTTAATACTTCACACTTATTACGTTTTCCATTAATAATATTTGAGTTTGGAGTTTGGCCTCGAATGCCTCAAGAATGTATCAAGTGGATCATAAAGTAAAATAGGTCATTTCATATTTTATAATAGAAAATACACTTCCTCTCAAGTTGCTGGTTTAACCCTGCTGACCTTATCTCTGGTTTCTCTTCCATGAAAGTAATCATGCCTTGTGTTAAAATGCTTTAACTCTGATGTTCCCACCTTTTCTCTGCACTCCCTACTTGCTGCCTCTCAAGCACACCAGCTCACTTTCAGCTCTGCTCCAACAGTGTAAAACTATTCTATGCTAAACAAGTTGAAAAGTTGGAGTCTGGAGACCGATTCTGAGGAAGAATAACGATACAGAAAGGCAAACCTTGAACACTGACAGAACTGTTTTTGAAGGTTTGAAACACATGAAGGCTTGGCTTTCTGAATCTGTGTTTTTGAGCCTGTCATCTGCTCAGCCATGGTGCTGACTGCTTATTTCACTCATGATATGTCACTCAGCTTTAAAAAAAACAACAACAACAACAACAACAACAAAAAAACCCAAACATATGGACATGTTACTAAGGTAAGAAAAATATATGACTTTCTTTGAAGGTGCTATTTAAATCAATGGCTGTTTAATATGTAAAAGTTGGAACTGAAATTACTGACGGCAACTATTAGTGCAATAATAATAAATAAATAAATAAAAATGCACATCTTTTTCCAGCTTCAGCTTCAGTAAACACAGTGCTTTTGGGTTCTGGACTGTGATAAGTATCTTATCAGCATTATCAACAATTCTTAGACATAAACTATCAAAGAAAAAGTAGATTTATTAGAAAAAGAGGCTAACAATAGACGATTTCACAAGTGTATTTACTTATTATCAAAAAGAGCTTGTACATAATTTAGCTAAATCACGAGTTTGTCTTCTAAATGATAAATAGGACAAACAAGATAAATTCCCTTGAAAGAGTTTATCCCTTTCATGGCCTCTGTTAGCCTGCTGGGGAGCATTTACTACAGTTTCTGTTGCGCACATTAACAGCAGCTACTAGCCCAAAGATGACATATTGCAGTCCTGGGCAGCAAAGCAGAGTTCTTGCTTATCGCCTGATAAGAGCATGAAAGCGTTACCATGCAGACATTAGAAAGCCCTGAAGCCATATATCTTGATCAGAGGAAATCACTGACACTAAAACGTTACGAATGTATGTGTGTACGCATGTGTGAGCCGTTATGGTTCAATATCACACACGTGTGTGACACTGATGAGGAGAATTTCAATGAGTTATGGAGACATACTGTGAATTTTGGGTGACCCAGTAGACTTGCTTTCCCAGTAAAAATGATCTACGGCTTCAAAAACACAGACAGAAATAATTAATCCAGCTTGTGTTGAATTTTCTAACAAATGATATTCAACCCAGTGACAACAAACTATGTGTTT